CGTTTCAATAATGACCTAGAATTTCAACTTAGAAATACCAAAAATACTAAAATTTAGTATTGCAAGAGCAAAATTACTAACAACCTCAAAAATGAGATAAAAAATAAAATGGATTAAAACAATCCAATAAAATTTTGACTTGGAATTACTAAAAATACTAAAAATTTAGTATTACAAGAGTAAACAACTTCAAAAATGGGATAAGAAATGATAATACAATCAAATTCTACTTGGAATTGTCAAAAAAAAAAACTAAAATTTAGTAATATATGAGTAAAATTACTGAAATCCTCAAAAAATGGAATAAAACACATAACAAGAATAAAATTCAAATTAAAAATACTAAAAATACTAAACTTTTTTCATACAAGAGTTAAATTACTAAAAATTTAAAAAATGAGATAGAAATTAATAATCCATAAATTTCAAAGTGAAAATATTAAAAATACTAAAATTTAGTATTACAGAAGTAAAATTATTAACTATCTCAAAAATGAAAAAAAAGATACTCCAATAAATTTCAACGTGGAAATGTTTAAAAAAAATAAAATTTAGTAATACAAGAGTAAAATTTCTTAAACCTTCGAAAACTGTATAAAAATGATGATAATTCAAACAAATTCCAACGTAAAAATACTAAAATTTAGTAATATAGGAGTATAATTACTTAAAACCTCAAAAATTGGTTAAACAAAACTAATGCAATAAAAATTTAATATTAAAATACTAAAAATAAGTAATATAGGAGTGTTATTACGGAAACCCCGAAAAATTGAATATAAATAGTCCAATAAAATTTTAAGGTGGATATACATATAAGGACAAAAGTTGCAGAAATCCAAAACAAGTGGACTTAATACAAAATCATCAGATGTGCCCAAATATTTTTGGTACTTTTGAACCAAAAAAAAATTTTTTACCATTTACCCTCTAATCAATATTTGCACCCATCCAAAAAATGGGATAAGAATAAATATCCAATTGAATTTCAACGTAAAGATACTAAAAAAAACTAAAATTTAGTAATATAAGAGCAAAATTAGAGAAAAGTGAAAAATGATTTAAAAAATTAGATTTAGTAAAATTTTGCAAAGAAAATACTGAAGCTCCAAAATGTGGCATAAGATTCCATAAATTGGGCATAAATTCCCATAAATTGGGCATAAAAATTTCAGAAATCCAAAACAAATAACTTAATGGAAATTCATCAAATGTACCAAAAATTTCTGTTAGTTTTGTACCAGAACAAAATATTTTTACACGTGAATCCTCAAATCCATATTTGCACCCCACTTTTTACATCGGACGAATAAAAACCTACTACCTTCCTAATAATAATAATTTTGGCAACATATCGAGTATTTTTAATACTGTGTAACACATTTTTGGCACAAACACAATAATAATATCCATAATAACTTCACTTATAAATACTTCAACGATAAACATTAATATATTATTATATTTATAAAAATCAATATTGCAATTCAAGTCTTAAAGCTGCGCTTAAAATATAAATAAATAATATCTATATGAGCATTTTTTTTAAATTTAATATCATAACAATTTCTTTGGTGTATTGTGACAACCTGTATTAAAAACCGTTTATTGCATTTTAGGCCTTTTTTACAAAAAAAGAAATTTAGTTGGAGATTAAAATTCAGCAACCAAAAATGCAAAGTCAGAATAAATTCCTTTCCTAACTAAATTCGCAGTAATAAAGCTAATTTTCAAAATAGTCCTAACGATTCCATTTTAGCTATGATCACATGTAATTTTAATACCAAAAATGTAGATATGATTTATAAATTAAATAAATTTCATATGCCAACGTAACAAGTAATAAACTATCACTTATCACTAAGTTTTTACATATATTTATCATTCTTCAGCCAAAATCAAGGAATCATCCAACATGGTGAAGAATTTGATTGTTGATTGTAGAAATTTACTAAAGACTAATATTTCTGACCCTGGTAGTAATAGATTTTAAACAAGTTGACTGCTAATTGACGATTATAATCGTCATGGATAAAAAAACAGTGACCTTTAGTCAATTTTGTGAAACAGACTTATATTTTTCTTCTGATCCCACCAGCCCAACTAACTTTGTGATTGACAAATATACAAAATTTAGTGCAAAATTAGAAATTCTTGGACAAAAATTGTACGATTATAATGGATCATACAATGAAGAATTTCTATTTGTAACAAACTAAATTTTTGTAAAGACTTAGGATTTAAAAAAAAGAGCAAAAGATTCGCAAATCCAACTCCAAAATTATATTGCCCTTAAGTGACGATCTGAAAGCATTCCAAAAACAGGAAAACTAGGAGCTTAATTGTTATTAAAATATTTTTAACATCCTGCCCCCTCCCTTGAACATAATGACACCATAGCTACTGCACTGTTTCTCAGTATACAGAAGTGCGCAGGTGCATCATTATAAAATTGCACTATCAAAATTCGCATTTTCGTTCAAGTTTTGTTTCTTTATCAATCTTTGTTAGTTTGTAAAATTTTTTGAGTTCGCTGAATTCTTTAAATATTTGTCTTGATTATTGTAAAAAGATCACAAATAGGGTTCTTGGAACCAAATATGCTTCAAGTTATAATGTAGATAGTTACTTTTAGTAAAACTATAGATCAAATCGAAGTTTTTAATGACCCAACTCTGAGTTTCTCCAATCTACAAGAAACTTTTTTAACTTCCAGTAGGGTGAGTTCTAGTAATCGCTAAAAAAATCGAAAATGAAATTTTTGCATAAATTCACGTTTCAAACGTTTCTGAACATTTTGGCATACCTTACGAAAAATGGTCGACGATTTCAGGAACAATTATTGAAATTTCTATAAAATATCTGGTAATTTGATGTACATATGGCCAATAAACATTTTTGACCGCCAAATGACATTTCTTTAACTTATTTTTATTAAGAGTCCATAATCGCTGGACCTGCCTTCCTAAAAATATAATCAGTTCTCCATCTTGTCAGTACAAGTAAAATGTTTTTTGAATTATTAAAATCGGACGCTCCGTTCTCTTAAAAACTGAGTTACCGTTTTTGGCACTTTTTGCCTCGTATCTTCGGAACGGCTAGACCTGCCTTCGCCAAAAACTAATCAGCACGACTCTTTATCAATACGAATCGAATGTTTTTTGAACGATTCAAATCGGTTGATACGTGTTCCCGAAATCGTCGACGAAAATTTGTATCCGCACACACGCACACAAACACATACACACACATACACACACACATACATCCATTTTATCTAAGGTATGCCAAAATGTTCAGAAAGCTTTGAATCATAAAAATATATGAAAATTTTTCAATTTCGATTTTTTTGCGATTACTATAACTTGCTCTACGGGAAGTTAACAAATATCAGATGCAAAAGAAAATTCACAGTATTTATGGATACTCCTAAACATAATTTTTCACAGATTGTGTTAGTGGACGGAGCTAACACAATATGGTATGATCAGATCCAGAATCTAAAGTCAAATAAAGTAAATTCTACAGAGTATGATCAGATATCTTACGATTAATGACGAATATACTCGTCATGGGTTCAATTCGAGGTGAAAGCTGAAGTTAACTAGTTAAAATCCTTAAAACAAAAATTTTATCAATTCGCCTGTTCTTAAAATTGCTGAGTTGCTGCAAGACTTAAATGGTTACAAATGTAAAAAACTTCACCTCCAACGTGTGTCAAAATCTAAAACAATTGACAGTACACAACAATGCACTTTAGTTGTTCCCTTCTTATATAATATATATAGGAAATCTTCAGCAACTCAACAAACCTGACCACAGCCTTTATAGTGCAGTAAACGGAGCGTTTTAGTTGTGAATTTTTTTACTGTGCTCCGAATTGAATGACATTTTGGAATTAGGTTCATCTTACTCTCAAATTCAAAAGTGAAAACAATTCGGGTTGCGCCATCACCCCCCGGAGGGATAACACCCCTTCTCAATTGTGTAATTACATTTTTTCGAAATAAGTTCATTATAGACATCTTGATGGATTCTAGCAGATTCACTACTTTAGTTCAAACTATTTTCAGAAAACTCACGATTTTATAAAAACTTTTTTTTCTTATTTGCGCGGCCGCGCAGTCTTTAAACATTCATAACTCTGTCAATTTTTGTGTGAAAGAAAAATAATGAAAAACAATAATAAGCCAGAAAGATCCCTTTGATTTTTATCTATATGCTTTTATACGTATCTTTTATTCTGTTTGAGATATAATGAAAATAATTTCGATTTTTAAAAAAATTGAAAAAAAAAGTTTTTATAAAATCGTGAGTTTTCTGAAAATAGTTTGTACTCAAGTAGTGAATCTACTAGAATCCATCAAGATGTCTATAATGAAGTGAATTCTAGATGGAATGTGAATTACTTTAATTCTGGTGGAAATGGCGCTCATTAAACCATATGATTAAAAGAAAAAAGCAACGTATATGCTTCTTATTTGCATGATAGCTCACTCATTTTACACGCGAAAAACTTGTAACAGCACTCATTTTGAAGCCTGTGTTGAGCACTATAAAACCCAATTTCACCGAAATGCATAAAATGTAAAACTTCGACACTAGATGGCTTTAAATACAACAATTAAATCTTGAACGAAATAAAAAACGACTTTGCTCTTTCAAATCTTGCTTAATATTTTTTCTAGAACACTTTATGTAATACCGATCTATTAAGTTTTTTATTGACATTATTTTGTTCATTACATGATTTTTGTTAAAATGTATATTTTAGGAGATATTTGCACAAAAACGAAGAAAAACGCCAAAAATATATGAATCTTTAGTGGCCAGTAACTTGAAAAGTATTAGTTTTTGTGAAAAACTATAAAAGACATTTTTTTCTTATAATTAGTTCTTCTACCGATTTCCGTTATTTTGAAAAAATGTAATTACACAATTGAGAAGGGGTGTCATGTTATGGCGCAACCCGAATTGTTTTCACTTTTGAACTTGAGTATAAGATGAACCTAATTCCAAAATTTCATGCAAATCGGAGCACAGTAAAAATTCAGAGGCTATACCCTTATTTCCTCTCCGTTTACTGCACTATTAGTCTTTAGTAAATTACCAACACCATCATTCATTACTACTAAATTTTAGTCCAAAACAATTAAACATCACTCACCAGACACGTACATTCAACAGCTAATCTCCGAATCGTTATTCAAATATCCACCTCCTGCACCAGATCCACTTATGGTAACCTGCGGCTTATGGTTAGCCTGATCCGTCTTACCGACTCCTAGATTAATATAATTTTTACTATTACTATTACTATTTCTATTACCGACTTGATCCACCAGATCGCTCGGATTCAACGTTACTCCTGTGATGTCGGCCGTCGACGACGGCGACTTCAAGGGGACGGCCTGGTTCGCCATCTGTCTGATGGTTGGAATGATGGTTCGGTTATTGGGGGTGTAGTGTTGAGGATATCTTAGCAGATTGTCGGGCCTGTTCAGCACCTGGTTGTCGTCTATGCTGTCTCGACAGTAGTAGGAACGACTGCCGCTGTTGGCGTTGTTGCAGCTGATGCTGACTGGAGGCTGCGTTGAAGTCGGGGTTTGTTGCGGCGTGTCCATGCTCATCAGATTCTCAGCCTGGGAGGGAAAAATGGTCACATTATCTAGGTAAAGGATAAAACAAGTTATGGCAAGGCCTTGTTACGCTCCAACTTCCATATATTTTGCTACTGATTCATAATGCCAAAATGTCATGTATTTGTAGTGCATTCAGGCGTTTTACACATAAACTGCAACGTCACTCGCATGTTATGAAGCTGGGTCAGTGAGTCCTGTTATCTAACATAGTTTTTTGATATTTGTGCGGTTTCTTGGTTAGGTTTTCTGTGTGACAACTTGAGAAAACGCCTGACTGCATAGCAACCACATGGCTTTTGTTAAATTTAGTATGGAAAGTTTTTCATAACATAGCCTTGTCATAATCTGTTGTGCTACAGAATCAGTTCAAGTTATTTAATTTGAAAGATATTAACCATAGTTAAATATCTGCAGATATTAGTCGTCCGAATCAAGCTCATGACGAATATAAAAGTCAGAGTCTTAGAATATTCTAAACAACTTGACATTTCAGATATCAAGTTTTTTGAAGTAAAACTTCTTTAGACGCGACATGGGCGTATATCCGTACAAATGCAACGAAAGTGCGTTACGGCAAGGTCGAGTGCCAATGATTCGTCATTCGCTCTCAATGATATCATTTGCGTGAAGCATATGTTTCATTTATCGGTGTTTCATGTCACTACATTTTAAGGTTAAATATTAATACAAATCTTGAGTTAATAAAAAATGTCTGGATCGAAAGAATATTTTATCCCGTCCCCCATAAATAATTATAGTGCAAATAATAAAGTAAATGAAAAATCTGTGCCGTGTAAGAAACGTCAGTTTATTGAAGTAATTTATATTATTCGTAGTTTCTATAAATCTTTAAAGTTATTGAAATGGAAAATATTTTTTAGGCAGAACAAATATTACAGCTGTTCAAAGAATGAGATTATATGGCCAGCGAAAAAGTAAGAAAAATACCATCAGTCAATGAATGTATGTTAATTTTAATTACATGAAGTTCTTCAAACACAATTATTACGTAATGAGTGAAATAGCGAAAACAATATGTGTTTAAGCATTGTTTTACATAATCCACTGTGTGAACGAATATTATAGAATTTATTAATCAGCAATTACTTCAGCAGGGTTCATTTCTAAATGCTAATTACAATGACAAACCGATCATGTCATATTTGAATTATGACTTTAAATATATTATTGTTTTTAAATATTATACATATTTTTAATCCTATTATAAATATTTAATTTATAATTTATCATTATATAAATGTGTATAATGGTTGACACTAATAAATGTGTGCATCACGAGTGTTACCATATTATAATATATACTAATAAACATTATTCAAAATTATTATATGATTTATTTTTACTTAAATGCCATACTGTACAGTAGCAAATAAGTTTTACTTCGATCGCGTGTGAACCTTACGCGCAGTCTGTTTTTTAAATAAATTTAACAAATTAGTTCTTAACTTCCTGAAGAAAACTATGTTTTCGCGAAACAATCGTATTTGCTAATCAGTTTTCTGGACGTTAAGTCATTTCTGATAAATGTGGCCAAATTTGGAAAAAGTGCCACACGTTTTGCCGACGTTTTTTTCAAAAGCAGCTAAGCTGGTTTCAAAAATTTGAAAACTATTTATTTATATGTTTATTTAATTTTATTTTATCATAAGCAAGCAGTAATAATAATAATAAATATTATTTCAGGCTCTTCTTAAGCTTATTCATAAATAATATTAAAAGGATAGTAATTTTATAATATTCATAGTAGCTGCACCAATTTCGCTTCTAAAAAAAAATTTATTGTAATTCGATAAGAACTTGTGTCGACGATCGGTTAAGCCGTTTTTATAATTACTTATTATAATAAATTTTATAAAAACAAGTAATCCTAAATAAATTTTTAAAGTTAAAAAACCGTTTGCTAAAAATCGCGCTGATTATTTTCCGGTTAGATCGTTCGGGTCGGTTTTATTCATATATATATAAAAAGTTGAAAAAAAATGTCTACGATTTTTATAAAACTTGTTACTACGACAGAGATCATAGTGTTAAAAAACATACAAAAATATTACAGTCTTACGACAAGTCGTTTAATTTTTAAAAAATCACCCAAGTTTGAAAAAATAGGAGCATGTGGGACATCTAGATTTTTCCTCGACTTTTTCTCAAAAACGACTGAACCGATTTCAAAATTTCAGAAGCCATTCTATTCATTCAACATACTAAAATATTAGAGGCCTACGACAAGTGGTTTAATTATAAATTAATGGTAACATTTTTTACACAACCCGAGAAGTTGTAGACTCCTCATTAGGTGACACAGATATAAAAAATTTATTTAGATAATTATTAAGTAATTTCTGTAAACAATGCACGAATCCATAAATATGAAATGATAAGATTTTTACAAGAACAAAAAACGGCAGTCCTCATTGAGTGGCTTTTAAATTTATAAGATCGGTTCAGCCGTATTTTTGAAGAAAAACGTTATAAATCGACTCCAACACACACATCTACATTCTCTATAAGTGCAAAAATGATAGAATTCTAGATCCTTCCCCCACAAAGTAATGTCTAACAGTGGTTTCCGTGGGGAGAAGCAATGGCAAGGGCAAGAGCAAAGCGGAGGTTTAAGTCGGTATTAGGTATTGAGTCCGACATACCCCGACAAAAGATTATGATGTATAAATGCATTTCTAAGCCTGTAATATTTTAGTATGTTGAATGATTAGAATGGTTTCTAAAACTTTGAAATAGGTTCAGCCGTTTTTGAAAAAACGTTAAAAATCGACTCCAACACTCACACACCCACACATACTCCTTTCACATTCTTCATAAGTGCAAGAATAATAACATTCTAGATCCTGCCCCCACAAAGTAATCCCTGTGGACCCGAAACAAGGGCAAAGCAGAGGTTTTAGTCGGTATTATATCAGGGCGGTATTGAGTCCGACATACCCAGACAAAAGAACTAGTCCCCAGGATGCATAAAGGCATTTCCTTCGATATGCAGAAAAATCATTCTCTATTCAGAATGACTTTATGGCGACAAACACCTACTTCAAGAGAAATTTACCATGTTAAATCTACAATTGATATTTACAACTTACCAGTGGTGTTATTTTAGAGTAATCCTGATTTTCATCCTGCAGCAGCGGTTGAATAGAATTAGACTGTGGTATATATCCAACAGGCGCTGAAAATTACACATTAAATAACATCACACAAATCCATTATCACAAATCTAATCAACTATCTAAATTCTACTCACTAGTAGCATCACCAGGATGTTTGTGGCCATCAGAAATTTGATTGCCCATGTTGCCATGTGGTCCTGGTAGAGGAATAAGATAGTCTGATGCACTGGTAGTATTTTGCTGGACTCCTGATTGTGCCAAATTCGAATCATCACTGTTTTGGATTCGTTGATTTGAATTGGAAGAATCCCTTTCACTATTCGATGGCAGTCGCATGAAACTCGGCAGGGGCGCATTCATGATTTCGGGATCCTAAAATAAAAAAAAATATATAAATTACATGCAACACAAGGTACCAGGTCATAAAAATTCTAAACTATTAGACTGCAACGACATAAACTTGAGATCAATTGACCAAAACCAACAAACCAAGATAAAATAGTACCAAAATGATAATATTGTAAGAAGAAATAGCAAATTTTTATAAATCTATATACATCTTATTAATCAATTATCTTGCACTTACTTGAGTGCATATTGTCAGTCTTTCAAAGAGTTGACCAAATGTTGGCCTGTTTTCAGGAGTTGGATCCCAGCAATCGCACATAATACTGAAAGGAAAAAAGATCAATATAAAATAGAACTTTATGTTATTTTCAAAAAGTGTTTAAGGGGGTATTCCAGTGTAGAATCTCAAAAATATCAAAATTCGATTTTTTTTGTTTCATATTTTCAAAGTTTAACTATCTAAGAATATGGGTCTAATCGAACAAATGGCATTAGACCAATTTATGACAGTTTATCGTCAAATAAGTTATTAATTCGATGTTTAGTTTCAGAAACTCAGAACAATAATGTGTCTCTAACCTCGTTGATTTGGATTTTCGCGCCGAAAAATATTCATTTCCGATCTCGAGTATTTGAAAAGCAACATTTATTGCTGTTTGCATATTCAATGAAGGTATCTTTCCGATTTTAAAAATGATGACTCTTATGGTAATGCAAATTGGGCCAAAAACTCATTCATTTGCTGTAAAACGAGACAAGGAGTCTAGAACTGCTCCATTGGAGGAGAGAAATGCAGAAAATAGTTTTTTTTAAGTAAAAGAAGGTCCGATGCATGAAGCAGGAATGGCAGATTGAATAAAAGAAGTATAACATATCATTTTATGGCTTTGACAGCAAAAAAACTTCGCGCAAAACTTTAAATGCGTTTTTCTCAGAACAGACTTTTTCAGTACTGTTGAAACGATTTCTCGAGTTCTACTCGACCGATTCACTTGAAATGTTCAGAGAGTCTTAGTTATAGACCTATCTGTAGCCCGAATTAGCATCATTCCCAAATTCCAATTTTTACTATTTCTGAAAATTTCGAGAAACTCAAAAAAAAAACAGAAAAAAAGATACTTTTTTCAAACAGTCAATCACAGAGGTGCCAATTTTTTGAGACCTCCCACTTCATCAGCTGCCAGTTTGTATAATTTTCAACTTTTTTTCTTAATTTTTGTATTGTATTTAAATAATATTAATGAACAAGTGATAACAAAATGAATAGCAAAAACATTAATTTCTTTCTTTTACGACACTTTAAAAAAGACCTTAAATTCATTGCTCTACACTAGAATACCCCCTTAAAATAATTTATTAAAAGTTTGTCTTAACTAATTATTATTGATTTATAGATATGGAATTTGTTTTAACCTGTAAATGGCTGGTGGACATCCTGGAGGTGTATCCAGACGACCACCATTTGCAACTAATTGCATGACATCAGTATTTGTGCATCCTGTATAAGGCATTATGCCTAGACTGAAAATCTAAACATAAAAAAAAAAATTAAAACATTGTCACATGGTAAAAATGTTAGATTTACATAAGTCAAAAATTATAAATATTTAAATGCATTTGAAAGTTGTTTGTAATATGTTTCAAATAATAAGATTACCTCCCAAAGAACGACTCCAAAAGACCAAACATCAGATTTTGTTGTAAACAAGGCATCTATAAAAGCTTCAGGAGGCATCCATTTTATGGGAAGCAAGGCTTTGCCTCCTTTCCTGTAATAATCCGACCTGAAAATAAAAAAATGATAGTAATAATAATTCGACTTCACAGCGTGAAATATTTTCTAATTCCGACAGAATCTGGAATTTGAGCGAGCAAAAAATGTAAATATTTTTGACACATTCCATTCCATGACATTTTGACTATAGTCCATGACTTTTTCACGAGATCGAAGTGAATAAAAAGTGTTAATATATTCTAAGTCTGAAAAAATCTTGAACGAGTGAAAAATTTCATCTCATACAACCATTAATAATTTTTAGCAAAATTGTCGGATGCCATTATTTAGATTTTTCTACAACGATGATGATGCTTCCAGGTAACTTACAATTTCTTCTGTCTATTTCCAATTTACGATTAGTTAGTAATTCTTCTATCATTTACCTGTAGATATCTCTGGCCATGCCAAAATCAGCAATTTTGACGACTCGTCCTGGTCCTTTGGCAGTCAACAAGCAATTTCTGGCTGCGATATCACGATGAATAAACCTCCTGCTTTCCAGAAATCTGCAACCTTTTGCTATGTCCAGGACGCAGAACATCAAATCTTTGGTGGTTAAAGTTGAGGGTTTATCCTGAAAAAAAAAAATCAATCAATTGTATAATTATGATAATAATATAAATAATATAAATGCTTTCGAACATATTAGTAACAGCAAGCTCAATATAGCACAAATTTTACAAAATGGACTCTATCCAGATACTCCGGAATTTTAGATGTTATTCTAGGTAAATTACTCATAAGTAAAATATTTTATATCAGGAATTTTATGTTTGAACAAGTAATCAAAAGCTGATTAAATCTGGTCCAAGTTATGAAAATAAACTTACTGGTTTTGGTCTGCTTTCCCTTAGAAAATTCTTCAAATCTCCGCCAGCAAGTAATTCCAAGACGATGAATCTGTAAATATTCATCATATATAAATAAATTCTATATACCAGTATTGACAAAAGTTGTAATAAATAATATTTTACATATATTCTCACAATTTTGCTATTAAAAATTTAAAAGAACCATAAAAATCAATAAATTCAAGTTACTTTTTTAATATAAATTGTGAAATGAATGCTTGGCATTCAATAAAATGAATATAAAATTTTAAGTGTATTCATGCTTTTATTTTAGATAGCCAGTCCAGATAATAAAACTATCATTTATATCAACATTTTCAAATTTGATGTTATAAAATTAATATAATAATATAAAATAAATGGAATATAAATCGAAAAATTACTCAGGTCCACAAAAAAGGTTGTCTGTATCGGGTGTGCGATTTATGTTTTTTAACTTCCCGTAGGGTAAGTTATAGTAATCGTCCAAAAATCGGAATTGAAAATTTTTACATTTCTCGACGTTTTGAAGGTTTCTGAACATTTTGGCATACTTCAGAAAAAATGGATGTGTGTGTGTGTGTGTGTGTGTGTGTGTGTTTTGTATGTCCGCGTTTTTTCGTCCACGTTTTCGGGCGCACGGATCAACCGATTTGAATGGTTTAAAAAACATTCGATTCCTATTGATAGGGAGATGTGCTGATTAGTTTTTGGCAAAGGCAGGTCCAGCCGTTACGGAGATATGGAGCAAATAGTGCAAAAAATAGAAAGCGAGTTTTTAAGAGAACGGATCAACCGATTTGAATGGTTTAAAAAACATTCGATTCCTATTGATAGGGACATGTGCTGATTAGTTTTTGGCAAAGGTAGGCCCAGAGGTTTCGGAGATACAGAGCTAAATTTAAAAAAAATGGCTGTTTTTGAAAGAACTAAGCGTCCGATTTAAATGATTCAAAGAACTTTCTGCTTTTTTCAACAAAATAATTGATTTTGGAAAAAAAAAAATTTTTGTTTCTAATTTTTTTTTCAAAAAAATTTTTTTGTAATTTTGGATTAAAAATTCAAAAAATCACCCAAGCTAAGAACAGTCTAAGCGCCACTCTGGTACAAATGTTTACCCAAGTGCGTTTAGACTGTTTGTGTACTGGAGCAATTTTCCAATTTTGTGAAAATTATTATTGAAAAATGTGAAAATGCCGCCAAGCTGAGCACAGTATAAGTGAAAATGTCGCACAGAATTATTTGCAAATGCGTTTAGACTGTGACTATGCGGGAGCACTTTTTCAATTTTGGGTAAATTTGGCAACTATTTTTTTTTTTGGAATTTGATTCGAAATGAAATGACGATTGTTAATGTTCTGGAGATGATAAATTGATTTATTTATAATTAATTTTCCATAGGGTAAGTAATCGCAAAAAAATCGAAAAAGAAAATTTTTATATATCTTCACGTTTCAGAGGTTTCTGAATATGTTGGCATACCTTGGAGAAAATTGATGTATGTGTGTGTGTGTGTGTGCGTGCATGTGTGTGTGTTCGGATACAAATTTTCGTCGACGATTTCGGGAACACGGATGAAGCAATTTGAATAATTCAAAAAACATTCTAGCCGTTCCGGAGATACGGGGCAAAAAGTGCCAAAAACGGTAACTCAGTTTTTAAGAGAACGGAGCGTCCGATTTGTATAGTTCAAAAAACATTTTACTTGTATTAACAAGATGAAGATTTGATCAAATTTTCATGAAGATAGGTCTAGCGGTTTCGGAGATCTAGTAAAAAAAACTAAAAAAAAATAACATTTGGCGGTCAACAATAATCATTAGACATTAGACATATGCATATCAAATGATCAGATATTTTATTGAGATTTTAACAATAAGTTTAAGTTTTGTTTACATTCCTATGGGTTCCGTACTATTGTTTTTCCGTTAGACAGCGACGCGGCGCTTACGCGCTTCTATATTTCGTCTCTATGCAGTTAAAGCAGTACGATTGCTTTGAAAAAAAGTTCAGATCTTCCAAAATATATCAAAATGAAGATAACATTTTTTCCAAAAAAAAATTTTTATAAAAAAAATTGTTTAAAAATTTTTTTAAAAAAAAAATTTTTTTTTCAAAAAAAAGTAATTTTTTGTCCGATTTAAAATTTCTAAAAAATCTTATTTTTTCGAAGTGAAATTTTTTCAAAAATGTTAATCGTTTTTAAAAAAATAATAATTTTTGGCATGGGAAGTTCCAGCAATTTACCTTAAGGCACGATGCCTTAATTGCCTTAAGACAGAATTCCACTTACAGCTAGTTCAATGTATTTTTATAACCTAAACACGAATTTATAGTAAAAATTGAGAGTTGAAATGCAAAAAAAACTTTAGCATTTCTTTAGCAAATATTATTAATTACTTTTGGAAGCTACAAAAAAAAAACTCAACAGGGATGAAAAAAGCATTGGAGAAATCAGTCATTTAAGGTGAAAAAGACCAGAAATAAGATTTTAAATATTACGATATTGTTCTTTTATTTTTCCACGTTTTATTTTGACCCATTACAGATCAGAATGCAGACAACTTTTTTGTTAACCTGTGTTATTAATGTAATAAAAAAAAAACATGTAAAAATATACAAAATGTATTTGTGATGAAATTTGAATCAACGTGATTCGAAATTTGTTAGCAGTAGGGTAAGTTTTAGTAATCGCAAAAAAATCGAAATTGAAATTTTTTATATATCTTTACGTTTCAAAACCTTCTGAACATTTTGGCATACATTAGAAAAATGGATGCATGTGTGTGTAGGCGGATACAAATTTTTGTCGACGATTTCGGGAACACGGTTTAACCGATTTCAATTATTCAAAAAACATTCGATTGCTGTTGATAAGAAGACATGCTGATTAGTTTTTGGCATAGGCAGGTCTAGCCGTTTTAGAGATACGGGACAAAAAGTGCCAAAAACGGTAACTCAGTTTTTAGGAGAATGGAGCGTCCGATTTTCATAAATCAGAAAACATTTTACCTATATTGACAAGATGAAAAACTGATCAAATTTTCATGAAGGCAGGTCTAGCGGTTTCGGAGATCTAGTAAAAAAAGTAACAAAAAAATGCCATTTGACGATCAAAAATGACCATTAGGCATATGCACATCAAATTATCAGATATTTTATAGTGATTTTAACAACAAGTATGAATTTTGTTTACATCCCTATGGGTTCCGTACCAATGTTTCTCCGTTAGACGGCAACGCGGCGCTTACGCGCTTCGATAGTTCATCTCTATGCAGTCAAAGCAGTACGATTGATTTGAAAAAAAAGTTCAGAAGTTCAAAATAAAGAAAACATTTTTTTTCAAAAAGACTTTTTCTAAAAAAGTAAAATATTGTCAAAAATTTAGAGTTTCTCAAAAATCTAATTTTTTTAAAGCAAATTTCTTTCAAAAATGTTAATCATTTTAAAAAAATAATTTTTGTTACGGGAAGTTTCAGCAATTGGCCTTAAGGCACGATGCCATGCGCCCCACTAGGTTATATGTTGACTTTAACATCATGCTAAAATATACAGATGCAGTAACGTAACAATTTCGCTTTAACAAAAAATATCACAAGAAATTTCCAATAGACTTGATGCAAAAAATTGCAATCCACAGTCAATTCTTCATTTGACCAATTCCTACTATTTTTGTTTCTCGTTATATTTTAATTTTATTTACGTTTACACCACGAAGAAATCGATCAGTTACTCTGATTGTTCATATAATGCTATACTAATTTCAATAATCTATTATATTTTGCTTCCTATTTACCTGGGATGTTTATCAAAACAAACTCCTATCAGATGCACAATATTGGGATGATTAAATTTGGCCATGATGGCAGCTTCCATCAAGAAATCGCTTTCGGCCTGTCCAGTAGACATATCAGGCAGGGTTTTGACTGCCACTGGCATCTCGACTGCATCCTGGTCTCTATGCCTGTAGAGTCCCTGGTAGACCTCACCGAATGCACCTTGACCCAAAGCCCTGGGAAAAAGAAAAGATATAAATCACAAAGTATTCCAATTTATGCTGAACCAAAAACAATTTACACTTTTTTATTTATATATTTACACTAGCAAACCCGACGAACTCCGTTTCGCCACCAGATGGTTTCGTGAGAAAGATGAAGAAATTTTTTGGTTGTTTTATATTTGAAAAGGAAAAATTTGATTCTATTATACAACAGTAATGAATTTATTTCGATTACAAAAATGAAGTGTTTTTTAGTTGAACTTCTCTAAGTAAATGAAAGTGAATCCGCAATTTATCTGTTTCATTGAAGGGCTCTTTGGTAAACCACATTTTTTTTTTTGGTCTGACGTTAACACAAACAAAGCGGATGGTTTTCCAACTCGTGAACAGACAACGTATAACTGCCCATGTGAAAAACAATGATTTTCTAAATAATCTATTTGAAATTTATCCCGCAAACACTAAGCGATTGGCCTTGCGACTTGTTATTGCGAACGCAAGGCGAACTGGAAATTGCAATCGTTTGAAGTCAAACGGAATACCAGTCGGAATCATTGGTATGTCACCAAATCGCCAACAATTTTTGATTGAATGGTGAAATTCAGTGCGTGTACATCATTATTCTTTGCTGCAAGAATTGCTCGTTGACTTAACCAAGCATAATTCTGATAACTCTCACTAATTACTCGAATTTTTAATTACGGTGCGTGAAGTTCCAGCAATTTGCATTAGGGCACGATGCCATGCACCATTAATTTTCCTAGCTATAAACCTTGCTGAGCCCGAGACCTTTCCAACGAATGCAAAATTGTCGAAATCGATTCATGCGTTCTGGAGTTATTTCGGCAGGAAGGAAAACCCGACTTATTTTTATATAGAAGATTATTTTCATATCTCACACAGACAGAAGTGCCTGGTATGAGAGATTATGAAAACAGTTTTCATATTTACTTCATATTTACACTTAGCATCATCTTAATTTAAATTAATTATATAATTACTATAATTATTATTTTTCCTTACTTGACCAGTCTCAAACTTTCCCTCTGGACTTGGGGCAAACTTTTAACGTCTACGGTTCCATTCAGAAGTCCATCACAACCGTAGTTTGGGTTAAAATTAGTCAAAGCTGATTCATCAGTGGTGGCCTGAAGACGATTTAGGGACATGTCGTTCTCCAAAATTGCCTTGTGACGAAGTGCCACTTGCTTCTGGTGCTGGTAACGATTATCTATGAAAAAATAAAAAAAATATTAAAAATATACGTTAAATTTGTCAATAAATATGGTAAAAACTTGTATTAATATGTATTAATATTTGGTTGGTACAAAATACTATATTTCACTAATTTTGAATATTTCAACAGGGAATGAGAAGGGTATAATTTCACGTGTACTTATTTTTTACCAAATTTTTTCATTACCATCTGAACATTTTTAAAAATAATCAAAAATTTTACAATAACGTAACTAAAAATACTCGTGATGTTTGGCAGAGGAGGGGGGTGAATATGAATATTCCAACAGAAAAAGGAAAGGGTAGAATATCACGTGCACTTATTTGTTACCAGATTTTTTTTTAAATCCAAACATTAAAAAAAAAATCAAAAATTTTACATTTTTTTCCCGTAACTAAAAATACTAGTAAATGTTTGGTCGGGGAGGAGGATAATTTTGAATATAATCTCTGGGGAGGGAGAGGGTAAATTAAAAAAAAATCGATAACGTGATTAATGCATGTCCCCTAAGCCCTCAAAATGTCATTGTGTCATTTGTCCCATTTGGAGGTTAGTTTCAGATGGATTCAAAAAGAAAACTATAAATACCATAGGTTTTGGACAGTTTTGACTCCCAATATATTGATAGTCAACCAATATTTGTTCACCAGATTCAAATATAAATAATGTTTAATAAAAATTTATTTAATTTTTTAAAATTCTACATTTGATCCCACTTCTGTTATTTTTTTTTTATTAAAGAATTCGTCGTGAAATAAATATATAATTTCAAGCAAAATTTTTGGCACAAAAACAGACGTATCTCGGATCCCATAATATTATATATTAAATAAAACCCAAGTTTTAATTTATATTAATTTCATATTTAAACTGGTTTATTATATGGATCAATTTATAATAATTCTTTAAAGAAAAAGGAAATATTAGCTTTTTTATTTTTAAAAAATTATAATTAAATTATTTATTCTGCTTTTTTAGAAATTAAATTATTATTTAAAAAATAAGAAATTAGAATTAATAAAGAATACTTAATTTATGTTAGTGTTAAATTTCGAAAAATAAAACAACGTAACAATAAATTAAATATTCTTTATTAAACTTTTAAAATGAATAACAATATAAAATATGTGATAATAAACAATAACAAAATAAAATTATATATAAACTATATATATAATTATAATAATATAACGATAAAATTAAATTAAACATTTTCTAATACTGATTAAAATATTTAAAAAAATATGTATAACAAATAACATGAGTAATAATTACGTTCTTTGGTTAAATATATTATATATAAATACGTTTATTTAGTAGTTTTTAATTTACAGTTAACACTGATATTTAATATAAATTTATTATAATTTAATTATCAACTGAAGTAAATTTTATTTCTAGAAAAATACTGAATTATATTTGTATTAGGTGGATCGATCTTGGATTAATAATTTTCTTAATAAATTTGCCACGTTAAAATTAATCATATAGACATTTAAAGATTACATTGCACTACGGATACATTTTTTAATAATATTATAAAATATTATAATGAAACACTTAAAGCCAATTGTAACATTTGCTCAAACCTGGACACTTATCGGATATTCTGGTACGATGATGGTCTGCAAAATTATTTATAACATAACTACATATATTTTTTTCAATCTTTAGTGTCTTAAAAATTATTTAATAAAATTATACTAGTACTGTATTTATTAATACTTCACTATTACCATTATTAGTCATTTTAAGTGCACTGATTTTGAGAGGTGTTTTAACAAGTGTTAGCAAAATAGTTAATTTTTATTTAATTGGAATTGTTGAATTTATCTTTCGTGGTTTTTATCTAAATATCTGAATTAAGAGAGATTCATTTTTTAATATAAAATTAAAATAATTTTACTTACATAACATCAGGAAAAGAAGTGTCAGGGCAATCACAAGCATTACGACCACAACAGCAAAAACTATCAAAGTGTAAATTGAGACTCCATCTATCTCAGAATACACTGTAAAATATTATTTAATAAATATATTTAATAGTCATATTTATATATTCTTAAATATTTGTAAGAAAAAATCTTCATAAGATAATACATTAGATGAGAAAAAACAACTAAGTATACTATGTACTAGTAAAATTTGTACAGGTAGGTTCATAATTAATTGAATTTTATTTTGAATGAATTTTATAGTAATTTAATTCATTTAAAATTAAAATTATTTGAATTATTTCAAGCTTTTTGATGAATCAAATCAATAAAGCTTTTTATACCAAAGTTGGCATTTCCAATGAATCCAAAGAATTTCTTCATTTTTATTATGTATGTCTGACTATTACTCAATGTGTGTGAAATAATAGTAAATTGAATTATTTAAATTACCTTCACAAGCTCCATCTTCAGTTTTAACAGCCCATCCTTGAGGACAAATGCACCTGACATCGGCCCTAAATTCGTCTAAGGAAACGCATCGGTAGTCGCAACCACAACCCTAAAAAAATTAAATATTAAAAATAAAAATTAAATATTATATAAAATAATAGAAATATTGAATGTGAGCTATTGAATTTATAGGATATATTTGGTCTTTCTACTCATATAAAATAATAAGAATAAAATACATCATACATGATTCTGAAAAGCAAAAAAAAAATTGATGTAGCCTAAAAATAGAGCCTAAATTTAAAACCAATGTACTTTTAATTTGCAAAGTCAGTGATAAAAAAGACGGTTTTGTACTTTTGAGACGAGATAATTTATCATCGTAAAATAGATAAAAATTAACATATCTTAAGATAGTCAAATATAGTAATATTACCATAGAAAGAAACTAAATAGTACTATTTACTGTATGTATTAATATTTTATATTACCTGAATTGCTGGTATGATTATGACTTCACCAGGACCACTATTAGCTGCTGATGTCACATTAGCCAATTCTGGTAAACCTCTTTCTGAGGTTACATAGGAATAACCGCCTTCACCATTTTTGGAATCAGAGGACGTATTACCCCCTGAAAAAGTAAATAACTACTTAATATAAACTTAATGAATAAATATTTAGTAGATGTAATAATCCTAAATAGAGTCCAATTTATGGATCCTTGAATATAATAAATTACTTATTTTTTATCATAAATAACATTGTGCATACAAATTTGTATAGGTTCAAAACATTTTTAGAGAACCATATCTATTTATTGAAAGTTATTAAAAAAATGAATAAAATATTAATTTCCAAATTAAACATATTAAAAAAATGAAGAACGCACTGCTATCCACAAACACAACACGAAGACTCAAAAGAAAAATATTTAGTGATTTAATTAGCTTGTAATAACTCGTGTCACATTATATTACTTGCCAAAAGATTTACTTAATGTCTATGTAGGACACTTGTAAATATATTGTTGAATAAAAAAAAATGAGGAAAATACTAATTTCCAAATTAAAACTGGAAGTGAAAATCTGCCAAAAAACAGCTTCATATAGAAGGATATTTCCTTATAGGATTAAAATCAGTTTTAAGGACTAATTCTCTAATTATAATAATAATAATAAAATAAACTAAATATCCAAAAATACAAATATTTTGACAATTTTTGTTTCTTTATCCCTTACCACTGTAGCCGCCGCCACCGCCGCCCTTAGTGCAGCCACCTCCGCCGCCTCCAAAACCACCTTCGCCAAATCGACCGCCTTTTTCGGCACCACCACAAGGTCTGCCGCCAACTCCTCCACCACCAGTCAGAGATCGGCCTGATACCGCCGATAAACCATGGTCCGCCAGACCTCCAGAAATGGCGGTACCCCGAGGCGCCCAACCTCCACCTGGCCCTGAAGGGATAAAAGATTTTTGTAGATAAATATTTATGAGATCATTTTTTTGGAAAGCTTGTAAAGGTCGGAAAATCATAATATTCTCAAAAATGATGGACATTTTCATTCATTATTGTCTATAATGTTTATGTAAACTGCTATAATGCAGAAGATAATGTTTTAGTTTATGAAAGTTAAGTATATGAAATAGTTGAATGTCTTATTACTAATAGTCAAATGCCTATTTTAATGAATTTTCATAACAACCTAAATCATAATGTTCAATAATCTAAAGACATAAAACCCCAAAAAAATTATCCTAGATCAAGTTTTTGCTAATATGAAAGTGCATTTTTTTCTTACCGGCGCTGATGGTAGGCAAATCATAGTATTCTCCATCAGTTGGAGGTCTTGCAGAATCAGGTCCATGTCCATGTTGAGTTTCATCATTTTCGAATCTACCAAAACCTAAACCGCCACCACCTGCACCGATTACTAGAGGAATCGCCTGGTTTTCAGCATTCAACTAGAAAAAAAAAACAAATTAAATTTACAAAATTTAGATTATGATTACTTAAGGTCAGTATTTATCTTGACCAACAATAAGACTCCAGGGCATTAAATATGCTCATATTTGCAATTGTGCTGGATCGATCAGACTAAAGTTTAGGCAATCCAAAATTAATGGACCCATTCTGCCGCACAACACACCAATGTTATGGCAAGGCTATATTATAAAGAACGTTCCATACTAAATATTGACAAAAGCCACGTGGTTGCTGTAAAGTCAAGCGATTTTCTCAGGTTGTCAGATAGAAAACCTATCCCAAAAACCGCACAAATGCCAAAAAACAATCTTAGATGATAACAGGGTCTTTCTGACCCAGCTTCATAACATACGAGTAACGTTGCAGTTTATGTGTAAAACGCCTGAATGCACAGCAAATACATGACAATTTGACAATATTCAGTGTGATTCAGTAGCATAATGTATGGAAGTTGAAGTGTAACATGGCCCATAATCGAAATCATATCTGATTTCAGCAAGATTCAAATTTAACATAGTGTTCTTTTTATTTATTATTTATTTATATATTATTTTCATATTACAGTCAGACAGAGGTGTCTGGTATGAGAGATTATGAAAACAATAATCACTTAGATCCAGAACTTATCGTAAACCAAGACACATATCTAAAGACTTTAGATGCAAGATTTTAAAATATCATTTAGTAGATAATTATATAAATGTAGCATTATTTTGGTGAATCAAGAAGAAGGCTGAACTAAAGAAATATCAGATAATTATTCTAACCAAATTAATAATTGTGTTAAGACGTTAAGATGATTTTGGTGTGAATATTGCTCACAATTTAGTGTCAGTGTTCAAATTTACCAGAAAAACATAGGATGCACCACCGCCACCTCCACCTCCGTCCTGAATAATTGTGTTCCTGATTTCATGGGTTTTGCTCCTGTATTGTGTACTGGCATTTGCTGGTTTGTCTGCTGGACAGGATGAGTTGCCTCTTCCACTAACAGACTAGAAAAAATAATAAATCAAAATTGGTGTCTAATAGGTAATACAAATATAAAATCGGCTAATTTACTAAGACATTAAGACTGTATACATAATACAGTAAAAGAAGAGATTAGTCTATTTGTAGTCAAGTACAAGGAAAGACGACTACTAGTCCAGGATCTTATAAATGCAATCCTGAAAATCAAATCTAGAATGTCCCTATTATGTAACAATTCAACATTCTATTAAAAAATACTGACCACTAAAATTACTAAATGCCTTCCAAGGACGATTATAATTATAAATAAAAAAGTGATAAAATTAGTTTAATAATATTTCACCTTATAGCAGGCGCTGGCACCTTCCTGGCCCACCAGAACGTATATTTTTTCTCCTTTGAAAAGTTCTAAAACTATACGAGCTGATGCACCCCTGGACGATCCGAAACCATCAGAACCACGGCCACCTCCTGCACCTTTTGCTATTATTCTAAAAAAATAAAAACAATTTGTCTGATTAGGAACATGAAATTCTTAGGCAAAACATGACTTCATCAACTTTTGTTCAATCACAAAAAAATTGCAAACATTGTTTCTGAGTTATCTTTATAAAATAATAGACTATACAACTATCTATTAATATTATTACTTACGTGTATATTCCCTGATTTGGCACTGTCCAAACTTGCATCCCTTCATAAGGTGCTCCTACCATCACAGAAACAGAACTTTTTGTTTTGTTTTTATAAGCATTTTCACAATCCAAAGGCGTAGGGCCAAATGGACCTTCACTGTTACAAGTTGTTAGAGCATAATCTGAAAAAGAAAAATACCCAATATCAGAAATTAATCATAAAAATAATTGTGGCAAATAAAATCATAAACATTGACTAAGGAAACAAAGGAAAGTAAAATAGCAACTGTCTTTGACAATCTTCTTCCAAATTATGGTTTCATATAAAAAGTTTGCAACCAGGCAAATATTTAGTCCAAATAATAGATTTGATTTGAATAATGGAATATTTTATAATAATATTTCTTTTTCTCTATTAGGAGCTCTATGACAATTATATTCTTACATGATTTGTCAACAAAATCTGGATGAACAGTTGGAGAAGTAATCCTTGGATCATAGTAGTTGTATCCATCTAATTCTGATGCAGGAATGTTTAGACCAAAACATTCTGGAGACATTGAAAAATCATCTATGGCAACGTCTGTGAAAATTCGGAGACCCATACGTCCTTCAAATTGTAGGAAATACCTGGAAAAAAATTAAACATCAGTGTAAAGGTAGTATCCTTATGGCTAATATTCAAGCACCTCGAAAATTCTGTATGTGGATAAAAAATATTGGGTAACATACAACTTCATAAGGAAGGCTAAATAAATATATATAAAGAACATTATTTTACATTACAATTTTAAAAATATAAAAATTCTTGTAAAAAATAGACCATTTTGTTAACCCAATTAGGTTCACAGTTGACCAATAGATTCTCAGACTAAATTTCTGGATAAATGAATATAAATTTCTAGATTTATTAGTATTGTTGCATAATACTTGTTGGTCAAATGTGAGAACATTTCTGACAATTTTTGGTTATTTTTAAGAATAAATTAATTGTTTGAAAATTAAATTTTATAATGAAGTAAGTATTTTCTATGTCCTGATGATGATTTATCATTTTTTTATTTACCTTGTGGTGACATTTGGCAAAGTGATGTCAGCCCTGCTCCATTCCTTGCCTTTATTTTTGGAATTCCACCAAAGAGAAGTAGTCACGTTTTCCTTCTGTTTTAATTCCACTAAAAATAACTGGATGCTGCCAACTACGTTGCTACTCGAACTTATCCAATATTGGTGATGGAAAAATCGAATCTATGAAAAAATAATTTTAAAGTTACATCATAGTACAAATCTGGATTTAATGAAAAACGCCTGAATTAGAAGAATATTTTACCGTGCCTCTTGAAAATAATAAAACAAATTAAACATTTGTGCCGTGTACTAAACATAAGTTTATTGATTAGAAATTATTTCTATATTATTCGTAGTTTCTATAAATCTTTGAAGTTATTAAAATGAAAAATATTGTTTAGGCAAGACAGATATTACAGCTGTTCAAAGAATGAGATTATATCGCCAGCGAAAAAGTAAAAAAATACAAGCAGTCAATGAATGTATGTTAGTTTTAATTACATGAAGTTCTTCAACCCTAATTACATGACGAGTGAAGTTGCAAAAACAATATTTGTTTGGGCGTTGTTTAACATAATCTACTGTGTGAACGAATTTTATAGAATTTATTAATCAGCAATTACTTCATTCCACTACTGAAGGTTCATTTCTAAATGCAAATTACAATGACAAACCAATCATGTAATATTCGAAGTATGACTTTAATTATATTATTGTTTTTAAATATTATACATATTTTTAATGCTATTATAGATATATAATTTATAATTTATCATTATATAAACGTGTATAATGGTTGTTACTAATAAATGTGTGCATCACGAGTGTTACTATATAACTAATAAACATCATTCAAAATTGTTATATGATGTAATTATTTTCACTTAAATGCATCTTGTACAGTAGCAAATAAGTTTTACTTCAATCGCGTGTGAACCTTACGCAAACTATTTTTTTTTTCAATGCATTTATTGAAGATTTGTATTCAAAAGTTTTATATGACCCCACAATAAAGAGTCGGATGTGGGTATCATTTAACAATTATTCAAAATAACATTGAGTAACAAGTTATTTTTTAAGCAAAGCTAATAACTAAAATTATTTGGTTAATAACTAAATATATTCGTATATATTTAATATATTTTATTTAATATAGATTTGTATTCAAAGTTAATAACAAAATATATTTTTGTTCTACATTTTCAAGCAAAATAATCCAAGAAAATGATTATCACTACTGATGTATAATGTAACAATGTGTGTTCAATAAAGCAATTAATTTTTATATATTTTTGTGTATTTTTTTATAATTAACTTACCATACAAGAATTGTAATATTTAGAACTAGGATCACCATGGACCCTAGGAGGAGCGTTAAAGACGACGCTATTCAAAACCGCGTTACTCGCGAATTTTCCACCGGTCTGGTTCATGTTGACATATAGATATTGTCCTGAAATGTAAAAAAATACAGTAAAAATTAGATTTAAGCACTAATGTTAAAAGTTTAGTTGCAACTTTACTTTTTCTTAAATTTTTGTTCTTTCACTTTAAGCAATCAGAAATACAATAATAATTTCTATGAGCTAAATTGTACATTTAAATAGGTATGATGACTTAAACATGAATAATAATAATTGTTTTGTTGTTTTGTCAATAACAATAAATGTAGTAGCAAGTAATTATATAATATATAATGATGAAGGATGAAGGGCAAGGAAATCATTTGTTGTGGTGGCTCTCACACCATGGACCTGCCTTCGGGCAGACTACCATTTATTATTATTATATAATTATGTAGTATGGAGCTGGATGTCTTAACATATTATTCTCCTGAATAAATCACCAACTCAATAAAATAATTGAATGATATATGTAAGGTTAAGAACAATTTATTTTCTTATTAATTATAATACACCATTACTATAATGAGTGCAATACTCAGTACATATGTTAGATTATTTCCTTACCTGAGACGTTTGAAAATTGATGAGTATGATCTTCATCAGGGCCCGTACCATCTGTCGGAGTTCGTCCCTTATGCCTAGACCACCTGAGTACGGCCCTGCCAGGTTCAGCATTGCGCCAACCGCACCAGCCTGATTCGAAGTCGCAACGACCTCCGAAAGGGATTTTGTCTAAAAATGACGATATTGAGATTCGTTGGAATCACTAATTATGTTGGTATATAATTTTTTTTTAATGTTATATATGATAAAGGAGCATCCATTAATCAAGTGATCAATTTTTTAAGAATTTTTGTACCTGTCTTCCTCCTTGGTGATACGTAGTGATATTCAAAATTACTCCCACCATTAGTTACAAAGAATTTTTTTTTTTTATGTTTTTTAAAAAATGTTTGTTTTCTTTAAAAAAAATCAGACAAAAACAAATACACATATCTTACTATATCCCTCCTTCTTCCATATGATATTTCATGATCACGTGATTAATGGACGCCCCCTAATATGTACATTTGGTGGTGTGATTGGCTGTCGTATTGGATTTTCTGCTTCCTTGACAGGTAAACCAGAAAAAGACCAATTAAGGTACCTGCCTCCGTATTTATATTTGGCAATTTACTCCATCTACGTTACTAGAATAATCTTATTCTGAGGTAACTAATGTTCCTCTTTAAGTAGTGTGATCACACATACATCATATATCAATTTTTTCTAAGTTAAGCCAAAATGTTCGGAAGGTTTTTAAACGTAAACGTATATAAAAATTTTCATTTTCGATCATTTAGCGATTACTTCCCGAAAAAATAATTAAATTTTGATGTTTTCATGAAACGGACGGTTTAGATTCAAATAATTTGTATTAAATTTTGCCTACAAATGAAATGAATTGAAGTCAAAACAAGCACGTTGAAGATAACAAACGCTCAAGTAGATTCAGCACATCAATAAGTGATGAAAATGTAAAAAAGTGAAAAAAATAGTTATGAGTGCTTCTAAAGAGTTCTACAATTTATAGAGATTAATAGAAAATAAAAAAAGATACGATAAGATCAGAAGACAAATCAGAAATTAATACCAAAATAGATGGTCCGAATGGTCAGTTCGGACATAAAGGAAATTATCCATCTAAAATGAAAACAGATAGGGTAATAAAAGTGAAGTTACAAAATAAATGCAAAAGTGGTGGAGAATTTGAAATATCAGAAAAGCCCAGTAGGAGCCAAATCACAATTGAAAAGTTGCTGATAAAGATGACATATCAACTGGCTTATGTTAAAATTTTTTTCAAATGCGCTTGAAATATGGAGCAGAAATTTTATTCCAAAACAGCTTCATCAGTCATTGCTTGTTCGTACTTTTTGGCCAAAAACAATACCGTAGTCATGCTCCTAATTCCATATTCACCAGACATGGCTAAAAAAACTCATGTAAGGACGATGTTTTTTCCAAAAGCAAAAGTCAAAAGTCGGAAAGCTACCACAGACAAAGTAAACAAAGAATATAGCTGAAAATTTCATCATACTGCAGGGACACTTATATCAAAATTTGTTTTTGACAATCGGACTGTTCAGACCGAAAAAACTTAAAAATTTCTAGTACGTTCTGAACACCCCTCGTTTATACTAAAAAACTACTAGAGTATTTTTTTAGGACCTCTCATACTTTTTTATATCATGCTGCAAAACTCTTTCATTTATTTTATTTCATTTATTTGGTGCATTGTTAAGCTTTGTGACCAAAAGTTGTTAAATCTAAAGTGCTACCGTTCACGATGAAATATATTTTGGAATTATACATACATTTATAAAATATGTTAAATTTTTGTAAAATAAGTATGGTGACGATGAGAGGAATCATAGTCCAACATGTCAGCAATTTTATAAATTAAAGTTCGTGTAACACTTGAGTGTAATGTGTACTCCATGTTAACAATATGTATAAATGCATTTTTATGAAATTAAATAATAAGAATTCTCAAAAATTACCGCAATCTTGTAGTTCATCCTCTCCATTATCACAATCAATAGTGATGTCACAAATTCTGGAAACACTGATGCATATGGATTTCTGGAATCAAAAATATAAATCATTAAAAATACAGAAAGGGAAAAATAACATTAACATAACTATTATTTATATATTCACTGATTAAGAACTGACGATTATATAATTAACACATTTTATCCTTGGCCATAAATTTAATAAATTGTGACAAAATTTTATTATAATCTTAATAGATTTCTTACCAAACTTCTCGAAACAGTAGAAAAAGACTCATATAAATAAATAGTCAGAAAGTTAGTACTTGCTCTACTTTATTAAAATCAAAATATTTATTTTCTCCAGATTTCGTATAACAGGGTTAAATTGGAGGACGTGCAATATCAAATTCTGTAAGAATCTAACTAGATTTCTTATACAACTTTCCAAAATGCATTATAAAAATTCGCAGAGTTGGATTTGATAATAAATATATTGAAAAATTTATATTTATTTACAACAATTACTATATAATATAATTAACATATTTTGTCTTTGGCCATAAATTTAATAAATTGCTACGTAACTTTATTGTAATCTTAATGGATTTTTCAACAAATTTCTCAAAATAATGAAAGAAGACTCATATGGATGAATAGTCAGAATGTTAGTACTTGCATTATTAAAATTAAAATATTTATTTTTTCCTTATCTCGTATCACAGGATTAAATCCTGATTGGCAATACCAAAATTCAGTAAGAATCTAACCAGATTTCTTATACAACTTTCCAAAATGCATTATAAAAATTCGCGGAGTTGGATTTGATAATAAATATATTAAAAAATCTATATTTATTTGCCACAATTACTATATAATATAATTAACATATTTTGTCCTTGGCCATAAATTTAAGAAAGTGCGACAAAATTTTATCATAGTCTTAATAGATTTCTTACCAAACTTCTCGAAACACCAGAAAAAGACTTATATAAATGAATAGTCAGAAAGTTTGTACTTGCTCTACTTTATTAAAATCAAATTCCTTATCTCTTGTCACAAGAGTTAAATCAGACATGCAATACCAAATTTCAGTAAGAATCTAACAAGATTTCTTATACAACTATACAAAATGCTAAACCAAAATTATTCAGACAAAAATTTTCTGGTATATATTTTCTCCTTAACGTCGACTATAAAGTTAGATTTGATACATAAACCATGATTATATGTAAAAAATATATTTATTTGCAATAACTACTATATTAATTATTAATTCTTACCCCCTGAACTGTACATCTGGTTGCATTCGCCGTGCAGGCTGATGACCAGGCACCATCCTCATAGCAACCGACCAGGGCAAGTCTATCCACACTAAAATGTGGTGCCAAACCATTGGGATCTCTTGGATAATGAGATGGTTCTGGTACCACTTCGAGAACCACTTGGAAATCGTAGGATATGCGGCCGATTCTGGCCTTGTACCTATGCCAACTAGAAAAATTAAATAAATCATATTAGAAGCTTGAAGGAACAAGTAAAATTAGAGTGGGTTGGGAAGTAAACTATCTCAGGATTTTATATTAACTATTAGCTGTCCCGGCAAATGTTGTTTTGTTAAGTAAGGCATATCCTAAACATTTTCTAGAGAATCAAAAATATTAATACTTTAAGTGTATAAGGATGTGTTGTCTGAATGCTGTATACAATGAGGTATTATAAAAACAATAAACCCCATTAGTTTGTCTATATAATGTCAATAAAATCAAACTGGAAGTTTTAAACACTTTCTATAGAAAACATGGTATAATCCAATCCAAGTCTTTTTTGGTCTTTCGACTTATTGATTACGTTTCAAGTGATTCGGATTCTTTTTGCATTCTGAATTTTGTGTATAATTGTAAATAATACTACTGAGCTTATACAAAATTTTAAAAATTCTGCGAGGAGAGATAGATAATGAATTAAGTATTTCTTCTTTGACCTGATTTTTGAAAAGTTTCAAGTAACATTCGATGAATTAAAGTGAATTTAATAAAAAGTATATATGTTAACTTGGAGCAAATATTAATTATATAATAAAAATCAAACCAATTATATTACAACAAGTAACACATTTCAAACGAACGATTATCAGACTACGTTCAGTAAAACTGCCTGCTACTTCATCATTGTAAAAATGTGTTTTTTTACCGTCTTTCAAAAATTTGTTATCTAGACCCTTTTACTCTATAAGCGGAGTAATTTGAAACGGCCAGGTGGCAAACAGGTTTAATGTATTATTTTAATTTTAAAGATATTTTACAAAATAATTACATTTTTAACAAATGCTAAAAAGCTACCAACAGAAAAAAATACTTTTATCATGGATTTTCAAAGATTATCGTTTATCTCCCGATAGGAAAGTCATGAGAATCAAGGTTATAGCTGGTTATAGCTCTACTTTCAAATATTGTTGTTAAACAATGCTCAACTTTACTGGTTTCTGAAACATCGGTGGTGGACCTTTTGAACCCCGGACCTTCATATATTAATATCTATTCTTCGATAAATTCTGGGAAATTATAACTGGGAAAATGTTATTCGACAAAATGTCTCTTTGATCGTCACCAAATTTACGTTTTGAATTTATATAACATAAATAAAAAATAATATAACCTAGAAAATGTTTTATAAATACCAATAGGTATATAATTATACAAATGAGATCTTTCAGAGCATCGTGTTTGAGAAAAATATGATTTGCAGGAAAAGAGTGCTACAACGCCAAAAAGTGCATTTTCATATTAACATTTCAGATAAGTTGATATTTTGAGTTTCTAGTAACACTTGCGGCCCGTTTACTAACGTTTTTGTTTATAAATATAACTACGAACAAAACTGCTTACTACAATTTAATCATAATTAAATAATATTCATCCTATTAAATGTAATTGAACATCATCTGTCAAAAACGTTTGACATTTGACGTATTAGCCACCGTCCATTGTTTTATTTAAACTACGCTTCCACAAAAAATTTCAAAATAAAAATGTAAAGTTTCTACGCGATTTTGAAATAATATCTCACCTTTCCGACAAGCTACTGATTAGCAAGAATTTTTCAAGACTAAGACTGGCCAAATCGGTTTAGCCGTTTTCGAGTTTTACCGAATCATTTGATCGAGAGCTCCATTTTTATATACAAGACAAAAAGATTTAACTCACGCATTATTATTATTTCCTCGGCCTTCGTGTACGACAACCTCATGTTTGGGATTCCTCACGATTATCCTGAAAGTAGCATTTGCCATGCCATCCTGGTGCAACCAGAATTCCAAAGAACAACTGCTCCTGTAAGGTGCTCCAAAATCAGGGCTGACCAGGGCGCGAACTGTTGTGGTTGGTGTCAATTGGAGATGCAGAAATTTACCTTAAAAATAAAAAAGATTGATGTTAAAATAACCAAAACAGGTGATTTTTTAAGCTACTCTATTGTTTTGATGTACACAAGTTAAATAATAGAAGACGATTGCTTAAAGCAATTGTAGGGAATTTGGAGGGACAATGACTGTCTTCTGAATTTTTTGTTGACAATGTCTACTAAATTTTTTGTTGAAAATGTTTTCTGAATGTTTTGTTGACAATGTCTTCTGATTTTTTTGTTGACAATGTCTTCTGAATTTGTTGTTGACAATGTCTTCTAAATTTTTTGTTGACAATGTCTTCTGAATTTTTTGTTGACCTTCTATTCTGAATTTTTTGTTAACAATGTCTTCTGATTTTTTTGTTGACAATGTCTTCTGAATTTTTTGTTGACAATGTCTTCTGAATTTTTTGTTGGCAATGTCTTCTGAATTTTGTGTTGGCAATGTCTTCTGAATTTTTTATTGACAATATCTTCTGAATTTGTTGTTACAAAACTGTAATGGGTTGCTTGACATTGATATTAAGGTAAATTCAATTGATAAGTCAACTAATTTGTGAGCTTTTATTCATATTTATAGCACATGTTGATATCAATTTGATACAAAATCGCTGGACAGTACTCAATCATTTATTGATCACTAAAAGAAAAATGTATATATAATTTCATAATATCAAAAAATAGTTATCCAATAAGAATTTTTTAGAAACAGTTCATTCTTTACAGTAAATTAGAGATAATATTTTATGATTGGAACATCATTGGATTAAGTTAATCCCATAACTAATAACATTTATTTACGTAATAATGAAAGATCATAAAATATACACGTGTTAAATTTGTGTCACAGAATCACATTCAGGAAAAATCTATTTTGTTGATTTTAAATATTGCTGTTTGAAGAAATCGAATGCTAGTGAAATTGTAGTATTATTGGAACCATCATTTCCTTCATTGAAGAAGTCACCTTTACCTTCAACATATTGGTATAAAAGCAAATTAATAATAACCATCATTAATATATTATTTATAAATTTTGATGTATACCTAATATTGATATTACAAAGGACAATTGCAAAAAATCTAATGTGGATGATATTTTTTCTATTTATCTTATTTTTTTTCTAGGTGTTATTAGAAGATAACTTAGTAGTTGACCATTGTCTTTCTGAGAAAATTATTAAATTTACAAATTATTATTCATTTTTCTAATAGTGACATATTGCACAAATGTCCAGAATAACTATTTCTACTTGAAGACGTATTCAGATTTATATTTGGAAGTAAACAGTGCTTGATATCAAGTTGTCAAGATGGGATTAGCTCTTGGAAACTGTAGATGCAAGACCACAGCTCTTACCAAAAAGCCACGGACAAACAATAGCAATATTTTAGTATAATTAATACACACATTAAAATTTAATCCAAAATGGCGGATTAAATTTTGAAAAAAAAAATATAAATGATTTTTTTTTATTATATTATACAGCACTGTCAAGGGATTATAAAAATATTTATTATAGAAGTTTTTAGATATTTATTGCACCCGATAAATAATCTTAAGTAGATACAATTAAGATTATATTTGATAAAACTACTAGTATATAAGACAGAAAATTTTTGATACTGAAACAGTTTGTAGACATTGTGCATTTTAAATGGTTTTAATTAATAATTGTGCATAAATTCTAAATATGAAAGGTAAGATATTTTTGATAATATTTTCATTAGTAAAATTTATCGCAAATTGTAGTAAATTACTCATTATATTTAGATAAAAAATGTCTTCATAATTATATTATTTTTTTAAAACGATTCAATAATTGCTGATTTGTTCTCCTTAGAATTTACTCATAACAATATTAATCAACAATTATTTTATTACATCCTTTTTATAAAGTACATGAAGTTTATCATTTTATTGCATAATTCAGATTTTTATCCATCATATGCTCCAAATTTTTGGATTCAATACATGTCTCCAATTTAAAACTAGAAGGTTCGTAACTTAACTTTGTCTTAAATTTTCACCTAGTTTTTGTGTTTTGAGTGAATGATCATGTCTTCGGTGCGTTTCAAATTAATATTCAGTTTGAATTTTGAAGTGTTATAAAACAATCAAAAATATTACTTAAATTGCTTAAATTCCGTACAAATGCAACGGAAGTGCGTTACGGCAGGTAAGATAAGATAAGAGTCGAGTGCCAGTGATTCGTCATTCGCTCTCGATGATATCATTTCTATACGGGTCGATTGTGATTAGTCGTCGCGTATGTGAATAGATATCTTTCGTTGATTTTTAGAAGTCTATATTCATTTTTTTAAATTTATTTTTTAGGAACACTTGGACTATTCGTCTTGCTCTTCGGCATCGTCTATTGTACAAATCCAGTATATCGTCTAAGTTGTCCTTTATTCAATGAAGAAATAGAACTATCCAGATATGGTGATGATGATGATTGTGCAAGATATTTTACTTGCCATTCAGGAACTATATTCCACATGCAGTGCCCCACGAATAAATTCTGGTCGCAAAGGCACTCTTATTGTGTCGATTTAGAAGAGTCAGATTGTTCAACTGGAGGAACTACTACGGAAAAGCCGACAGAAAAACCTACCTGGCCAACGGCTTGGCCGACGGAAAAACCAACAGAGAGGCCGACAGAAAACCCAACAGATAGGCCGACAGATAGACCAACAGATAGACCAACAGATAGGCCAACAGATAGACCAACAGATAGGCCAACATATAACCCAAGGCCGACAGATAGACCAACAGATAGGCCGACAGATAGGCCAACAGATAGACCAACAGATAGGCCAACATATAACCCAAGGCCGACAGATAGACCAACAGATAGGCCGACAGATAGGCCAACAGATAGACCAACAGATAGGCCAACATATAACCCAAGGCCGACAGATAGACCAACAGATAGGCCGACAGATAGGCCAACAGATAGACCAACAGATAGGCCAACATATAACCCAAGGCCGACAGATAGACCAACAGATAGGCCGACAGATAGGCCAACAGATAGACCAACAGATAGGCCAACATATAACCCAAGGCCGACAGATAGACCGACAGATAGGCCAACAGATAGACCAACAGATAGGCCAACATATAACCCAAGGCCGACAGATAGACCAACAGATAGGCCGACAGATAGGCCAACAGATAGACCAACAGATAGGCCAACATATAACCCAAGGCCGACAGATAGACCAACAGATAGGCCGACAGATAGGCCAACAGATAGACCAACAGATAGGCCAACATATAACCCAAGGCCGACAGATAGACCAACAGATAGGCCGACAGATAGGCCAACAGATAGACCAACAGATAGGCCAACATATAACCCAAGGCCGACAGATAGACCAACAGATAGGCCGACAGATAGGCCAACAGATAGACCAACAGATAGGCCAACATATAACCCAAGGCCGACAGATAGACCAACAGATAGGCCGACAGATAGGCCAACAGATAGACCAACAGATAGGCCAACATATAACCCAAGGCCGACAGATAGACCAACAGATAGGCCGACAGATAGGCCAACAGATAGACCAACAGATAGGCCAACATATAACCCAAGGCCGACAGATAGACCAACAGATAGGCCGACAGATAGGCCAACAGATAGACCAACAGATAGGCCAACATATAACCCAAGGCCGACAGATAGACCAACAGATAGGCCGACAGATAGGCCAACAGATAGACCAACAGATAGGCCAACATATAACCCAAGGCCGACAGATAGACCAACAGATAGGCCGACAGATAGGCCAACAGATAGACCAACAGATAGGCCAACATATAACCCAAGGCCGACAGATAGACCAACAGATAGGCCGACAGATAGGCCAACAGATAGACCAACAGATAGGCCAACATATAACCCAAGGCCGACAGATAGACCAACAGATAGGCCGACAGATAGGCCAACAGATAGGCCGACAGAAAAACCAGCATAGAGACCGACTGAAATGTCAACAGAGAGCGCCATACTGGTTAACATATGACTATAATTAAACTATGAATCCAATAGATAAGACCAACAGATAGAGTAATATATATATAAGAGCCAACAGTTCTATTGATACCCATAAGGCTTGAAACAAATAATTTGTAAAAGTTAAAAATAATAAAACACGTTAAAGTAAAATTTCTTGATTTTTGTTTGAATTTTACACTTAAGAATATAATACATGACACAAGTGAATTTGAGATAGCAAAAATTATTGTCGTCTATTAAATTGTAATACCTTCAAAAAAAAAAGAGAAGATGATACTATTCGGTAAAATTTCTGGTATAAATTAGAAGCAATAATTATTAAGGGCATAAAATAACGATTTTATTAATCAGAATACAACAAAAATGTAAGTTCTTTATATTTTGTAGATAAAAACCGTGAAAGTGATTGTATTAGATAAAAATGACGTTCATTTTACATTAGCAATATAATATTTTTATTTGATTATTTTGACGGCAATATTTTTATTCATATTATCTTGATATAAACTGGTGGGAAGTGGCATTTAGCCTTAAGGCAAGTTGTATGAACTTCCCGAAATATGTAAGAATTCACTTAGTCAATCGCAATTGAAAATTATTCTTTGGATTCTCCAAATTATTTCTCCATTTTCTCTGAGGTATGCCAAAATGTTCAGAAACCTTCAAAACTTCGAAAAATGCAAACATTTTCATTTTCGATTTTTGGACGACTACAATAACTTACCCTACGGTAAGTTAATAAAGTTTAAATAAAATAAACAATCTTTAGTAAACAGTGAAACATGGAAAATTGTACGAAGAATTCTTTACAGTTCTATATTGGATGGTTTCACTGAAACGAATAATTAAAACCAAAATGATTATTTGATCTTAATTTTTAGCATTTAGAACGGATTTACTTTCATAAAATATTGTCAAATTTCAAGAGACAAACTAGTCGAAAAATTACGAAATAAAATTTCTGATATAAATGGTGTTATGGTTTTTAATGAAAATAATTTTATTGACTTTCATTAATATAGTTTTTAATTCAGTAGAAACTACACTAACATATTGCTGAAGGAAAAAGGCAAATAATTAGAAAAACCATTTCGTCATAGAGAAAGGACATAATGAGGCACTGGTTTTTAACAAGATATTACAAAAATAAACCCTTGATCCTCGTTGGACATATCATATATCGTAACCAATCTACCAACCTTTGCCCGCCTAAGAATCAAAAATAGAACTTTTCAATAAATGCAAGTCTCTCATTTTTATCAGAAGATTCTTTTACCTGTTTTAGATCCAGGAAAGTTCAAAACTAATCATCTTTTTTCTTGTCTTCTAACAAACTATCCTGTAGTGCCATGTACATTTTGAACATTGTAGAAATATGTCATTTTCCTCAAAAGTTTGCAAAAATAAATATAAAATCAAAATGCCATCAAACACTTAGTAACTGGCATTAGTAAATTGCCAAAATAGCTAATAACAATATAAAAGTCCCCAAGCAACTTTGACAAAACCACTCTAAAAATAAACTTTTACCCTAAGAATAATCCACATCGAAATACATCCACTAGCTTTTAAAATTTTGAAATCGGTTCAGGCGTTTTTGAGTAAACGTTGATGAAAGGTCTAATTTTGACAAATGTCAAAAAACTATACAAATGTTTGCAAACTTTGACGAATTTTTAAAATTAAACGACTTGTCATAGGGCCGTAATATTTTAGTATAACCTATAAGACTATGGTAATTGAAATTATTTAACATTTTACAAGAAAACGGCCCGGCCGATCTTTACCAAAAACTAATCAGCACGATTCCCAACCAATATCTTTCGAACGGTTTTTGAATTTTCATAATCGATCCAGAATTGCGGGCTAAAACGTTGACGAAAAATATTTCACTTTTCTGCTATTTACAAAGAACCGGCTTGGCCGATCGCCACGCAAAACTGACAAACAATAGTCCTCATCGAAATACATCGAATGGCTTTTAAATTTTTGAAATCGGTCCAGCCGTTTTTAAGAAAACGTCAATTCATGGCAAAAAATCTGTTCACATACATACACACACATCCTTTCTCCAAATTTAGTCTCATTCGATCCAGAATGGCTTGAAACGTCGAGAAAACATAAAATTAGCCAATCGTTTTTTTTTTATGAAAACATAAACTTCTCCTTCGGGAAGTTAATTATTAATGCTTAGATATAGAATTTTTCAGAGTGAATGGAAATCCTATAAATAAAAGATTGATTCTAAATATTTAACACAAATGAAATAAATCAAAACCATTTATTATACAAAACTATATATCAGCAAATATATTATATTTTGAATTACTATTTGATAATTTTTGGTGAAATCAGAAAAAATAATTGTATAATACATAAGAAAACTACTAACTAAGACAATTTTAAGTATTTATGAAACAGTTCTTAAATTTTTAAAATCAATATAATATTGGTATTAAAAACTGATGACTAAAACGTGGACAAACGTTATATTTATTTTGCTAATTATAAGAATAATTAAGAAACGTTTTGACCAATGTACAAAACGATTCAGAATGATATGAATCGTCGAGAAAACATGAAATAAGTAAGGCAAAATATAATTGTTTCTTTCTGGAAGTTAATAAGAGAAAAAATGGTTATTATATGGATTCCTTAAAATCATATAGAAATATAAACATTTAAAATGGAGTGAAAAAAATCTGTTCACACACACACACACACACACATACTTTTTCCAAATGTTGGTCTCATTCGATTCAGAATGGCTTGAAACATCGAGAAAACATTAAATTAGCGAATCGAATAGCGAAACATAAACTTCTCCTTCGGGAAGTTTATAACAATAAATAGGTAGAATGAATTTTGTGTTTCATTCTGACATAAGTAAGGATAAAGTACAAAATCTATCTCCCTACTCACCATCCCTATCCCCGCTGGCATCAGTCACAGGAAAGCTCATATGTCCATGGGACCTGTTCATGGTCGCCAATTCCGCCCCATCGGTGACCCTGAAACCATCGGCAACGGCGGTGTCCCACCTCCAAGCGCAGGAGGTCTCGAAATCGCAGGCCTGGCCCTGTCTGGTGGCCATCGTCGCACCGCCATTGGGCAGGGTGAGCTTCTCACCACCGCCGATGATCGCGAATTTATCGTTTGGGACGCGCCTCAGGGGCTGCTCCTCGGCGTAGAGGCTGCTGGCGTGCTGGCGGTCGTTTAGCATATCATACTGGGGGAGGAAAAGATAGTTATTAGTAGAAAAAAGAGTGCGCGTAAGGTTCACACGCGATTGAAGTAAAACTTATTTGCTACTGTACAAGGTGGCATTTAAGTGAAAATATATACATCATATAACAATTTTGAATAATGGATATTAGTAATATGGTAACACTCGTGATGCACATATTTATTAGTGTCGACCATTATACACATTTATATAATGATAAATTATAAATTATATATTTATAATAGCATTAAAAATATGCATAATATTTAAAAACGATAATGTAATTAAAGTCATACTTCAAATATAACATGATCGGTTTGTCATTGTAATTAGCATTTAGAAATAAATCTTCATTAGAGAAATGAAGTAATTGCTGATTAATAAATTCTATAATATTCGTTCACACAGTGTATTATGTTAAACAATGCCTAAACAAATATTGTTTTCGTAATTTCACTCATCATGTGATAATTGTGTTTAAAGAACTTCATGTAATTAAAATTAACATACATTCGTTAACTGCTTGTATTTTTTTACTTTTTCGCTGGCGATATAATCTCATTCTTTGAACAGCTGTAATATATGTCTTGCCTAAAAAATATTTTCCGTTTTTAATAACTTCAATGATTTATAGAAACTACGAAAAATATAGAAATAATTCCTAATCAATAAACTTACTAATAATTAATCTTATAAATTCTTCTGATCCAGGCATTTTTCAATAAATCGCGGTTTGTACTAAGATGTAACTTTAAAATGTTTATTTATCTACGTCGATATCTTTGTTGATATGGCAACGCATACAACATTGATGCCGGTCTCCGTTCACATGCACGACGACTAATCACATTCAAAGGATTTCATCGAAAGCGATTGACGTACAGTTCTGCCGTAACTGACTTCCGTTGCATTTGTACGGATTTACACCCTAGTCGCGCCTAAAGAAGTTTTACTTCAAAAAGTGGATAAAAGTCATTATTAGATTAGTAGAGTTAACTACTTTTGGCAAGTGCGACTGATAGCAAGAAACTTGGTTATGAGTCAAATGAATACACACTTAATGTGAATATCGAGAATGTGGTTGGTAGAAGTATTAGGGTCGAATCCTGGTACTGTGTATAAGAATGATTAATCAAGTTGTAAGTAGCATTTTGCCTTAAGGCAAGTTGCATGGACGTCTCAATACGTATACATAATCAACTTAATAATTAAGAATTGAGATTTGGCTAAAAATGGTAAAGGTAAAATGTTTATTACGAAAATAAAACTTTTGCTTTTTATACATCTTATTTTGTTCCATAATGTGTAACAATTATTGCAATTGATAAATTGTATAAAAAGTTATTTGATTAATATTGAAAAATTACACCTGGGGTTAGTTGAAACAAAACCTTGGGGCTAGTTGTACCATTATGCATTAATATATTAATTGTAGTTTACGTTTATGATTAAAAAAATATTGTAGGAGACATTATATACGTTATTTGTATTAATTATAGTTTAAGTTAATGCAAACAAAAATTTACTTAGAAACAGGTCAATTTTTTCTCCAAATCGTTGGAGACCAAAATTGGAAATGCACTTACACCTAATTTACACCTGATATACAATATTTTTTTATTAAAGATATACTACACCACTGAGTTTTCATTATATTAATTTAACCTATTTATTTCATTTATCAGAGAATCCAAAATATTTCGTCGTATATTGTCTTATAAGTCATTATTAGCACTAATGAGCAAAAGACGAACTGCCCTTCAATAGTTGGATATATATGTATATATATATATATTTATATATATATATATATATATATATATATATATATATATATATATATATACAAGAATACCCATCGTTTGCTTTCATAAATCATATTTTAAAAATAGACATCTATCTGTCTCGATACCGAGAAAAATAACAGACCTCGTAACTGTTGTCAATGACTGAAATTACTAATTATAGTAATTAAATTAACTGAACAGTAAATAACGTATTATGTGTCTTAATTAGTTACTTGGAGACTTTTTCTCTAGCTATGAATGGTGATGAAATATTTTGTTATATAGTATAATATTTGAAGACTATTTTCAGGGTTTGAAACCTCAAATTACCCAATATATGTGTAACAACCAAATTTGTTTCAAATGAATAGAAACAAAGTTAATAACAATAAGTAATAAATAACAACAAAAGTTCTATCATCTGTGAAATGATACAACTTTGCCTCCTAATTGTTAGATTTAAATTTTTGGCAAAATGATTTGGCAATTTTTTCCATTAAATTTGACAAAAGTGATTAATAATTTGATCTGATTACTCAAGTCATGTTTTTTCACATTTATAATTTAATTTTAATGAATAATATGTAATTTGAAAGAAAATTTACTAAAAGACAATTTAATTTTTGAAATTGAGTAAAATAAATGATATAACTTTATAAAATAGAGTATTAGAATCATAATGTGTTTTGTAAAAATTTTGGGGATTTCAGATATTACAAAATTTATATTAGCCAAGAAGGTGGATATATATATATATATATATATATATATATATATACTTCTCAGGTCAAATAAACAGTTTGATATACCTAAAAAACATGTGGTAAAAATTTAATATAAAATTCATTCAAAAATAGATTGTATTTACAATAACATTTCAAACATATGAAAAGATTTAAAAGCTTATTTTGCAATGAATTTTCGGTGAACTGCTTCTGTTTTAAAACAACGAAAAAAATATATATGAATGCATTGGTTCAAATTAAACAGTTTATATATACACATGAATAAAGAAATTTTTTATTTAGTCAATTGAAAATAATTCGCAGAAAATAAATATATAAACCGATGTTTAGTTCAATTGAAAATTTAATATATCGAATGCCATACAAGAAACAAATTCAAGCATAGAAAAAAATTAAAGGCATGTATAAACAAATGTTTGGTAGTAAAATATCAATGATTTTTAAATATTAATTTTCATACTAATCTTCATAAAAAATATAAAACTGCTGAAAAATATGAAATATTAAAAAGGGGTACAAAAGTAGGCAGTATGATGTGTTTGACCAACTAATAACCTAATAGTTGAGAAAATTGCATCAGGAATTAATTTTAAGTAAAAACAAGATTCCCTGATAAACAAGAAATGCAGTTTATAAAAAATAGTATATAGTTTTATGTTAGGCTCTAAAATATTCAATATAAATTAATTAAAAATCTATTTAAGGTACAAAAATCTTTCTAATCTTGATCTATTATTATTTACATTTTAAATTTTTTCTAATCTTTGTTGTCAAGTATTTACACCTTATTATTGTCACCTAAATTTTATATAAATCTACTATAATTAATATATATTTTAAAAAAATTCTGAACCAGTTTCAAGAATATCGATTGATTAATGTTTGGCACAAATCGTATATCGACCGAGTCGTTTCTTTGTAATGATTTGTTGATTTTTTTATATATTTTGATAAAACTTTGGTGTTAGAGGTCATCATCAATATTATATTATGGGACTCCTAAAAGTAGTTGAATTATAAAAAATTATCAAAATTTGGAATGGAAATGAAATGGAAGCTTGTGTTTGTGCACTATATTTAACATAATTTCAACATTTGAAAGATATTAATTGGAAATTGGAAATTGCATTAAATAGTTAAACAGCTGAATTTTTTTGTCTAAGCTTCTCAATTTTAACTATATGACTCTGGTTGATTAAATTATTGACATACACGTATCGGGAAGTTAATACAAAATGCCCAGTAATTTTAAAGTAAATTTCCAAAAAAGTTGTATACTTCTCTAACTCCGGTCTCCCCTAATTCAACTTAATAAATGCACACTTATTCAATCTATTAATATATATCTCGGACGGCCACTCGGAGATTATTTTGTTTGTAAAAGGAATACTTTGTACTTCATGAGAAACATCTGTTCCATGTCAAATATGATCTTTGACTATTTTTGAAACCAAAACCACATTTAACACTCGTGCCAGATATGTATAAGTATCAGAAGTCATAAAAATTATTATTGAAATAAACACTTATTGAATAAACACATTAAAATTATCGTTTATGAATTATGTGTAATATAAAAATTGTTTTCTATTCGAGTAATTATTAACTTCCCGTAGGGTGTAATGCGCCAAATATCGAAATTGAAAATTTTTACATTTCTCGACATTTTGAAGGTTTCTGAACTTCAGAAAAAATGGATTTGTGCGTGTATGTATGTATGGATACAAATTTCCAGTCACGTTTTCGGGCGCACGGATCAACCGATTTGAATGGTTCAAAAAACATTCGTTTCCTATTGATAGGCAGAAGAGCTGGTTAGTTTTTCGCAAAGGCAGGTCCAGCTGTTTCGGAGATACGGAGCAAAGAGTGCAGAAAATAGAAATTGAGTTTTTGAGAGAACGGAGTATCCGATTTGAATGATCTAAAAAACATTCAATTAGTAATGATTGGGAGAAGAGGTGATTAGTTTTTGGCAAAGACAGGTCCCGCCATTTCGAAGATACAGGGCTAAATATACAAAAAATGGCAGTTTTCAAGAGAACTAAGCGTCCAATTTAAATGATTCAAAGAACTTTCTGCTTGTCTTAACAAAATAATTGGTTTTGAAAAAAAAATGTTTGTTTCAACTTTTTTTTAGTTTTTTTTTTGTATATCGAAAATAATTCAGATTTTATTTTTAATTCTGACTAAAATTCTAATATACTTTAAACAAATAATTTTAACTTTGCAATTCAGTTTATATAATTCTTATAAATATTAGGCAATGTTACAATATTAATAATAATCTATTTGAAAACATTCAGTATTTCTCGAACATTTCGTTACGGTACGGGAAGTTCCAGCAATTTGCCTTAAGGCACGATGCCATAAACCCTACTAGTTTTTATTATTAATAGTTAATAAAGAAATTAACGTTATAGAAATATAAGTCTATATAATATATATATATATATATATATATATATATATATATATATAAAAGTATATTAATAAAAAGTACCAAGAAAATTGCAAAACTATTAATTTATCCAATATTTTTAGGACATTAATTTGTCAAAGAAAGTGGAAAATGTCGCAAAGAAAATCAATGTATAAAAAAATTTGTCAAGATTCCTGATAATCACTATTTTTTATGTCACATATATATGACTGACATTAAAGGATTCCCTTTTTTCACCTTATACCAAGTCACATATGTCCGACATGGCTCGTGTAGAACTTCTTATCGTCAGACACATATGACTGTCATGGCATTCAACGTGTCAACTTATTTAGTTTCACCAACATTTCATCTACTAATTTTATTCCCATTACTCACATGTTATTCGAGAAGAAACAAAAGGAATGGGTAGAAGAAGAATGCAGACGATTAACGACTTACGCGAGAAGAGAAAATACAGGGAATTGAAAGCCGAAGCACATGATCAAGAAGCATGGAAACAGAAGTTTGGAAAGAAAAATACATGAAATAAAAAAATGGGGATAGGAAATAGTGGTAATGGGATGAAGGGCAAGGAAATCATTTGTTGTGGTGGCTCTAACACCATGGACCTGCTTTCGGGCAGACTACCATTTATTATTACTATTACTCACATGTTGTTCCTTCCTCCCACTATAAGCAATCTGCTTCAGCTCCGTCAAACTGGAAGATTTCCTAGGACGATCCTGCATAGGACCATCGTGATTCCTCCTCCTTAAGACGTTATATAACGATGTTGAGTTACCAGGTTGATGGACGTATTGGCTGTAGCAGAATTCGAAGTAGAGCAGAAATATTACTGCTCTCATCAGAAGTAGAGGTCTTGTGTTTCTGTCCAAAACCATCATTAGAGTTGTGGTGGTGTTTGACATCTTGGTAGTAAGACCTAGAGGGTAGATAATAGTATTAGTATGAATTTCTTGACTTGGTTAGGATAACTTTACATCTTGGTATTAAAAAAAAGAGTGCGCGTAATGTTCGCACGCGATTGAAGTAAAACTTATTTGCTATTGTACAAGATGGAACTTAAGTAAAAATAAATACATAATATAACAATTTTGATGAATGTTTATTAGTAATATGGTAACACTCGTGATGCACACATTTATTAGTGTCGTGTTAATATTAGTGTAGTGTTAATTATACACATTTATATAATGATAAATTATATGTTTATAATAGCATTTAAAATACGTATAATATTTAAAAACAATAATGTAATTAAAGTCATACTTCAAATATAACATGATCGGTTTGTCATTGTAATTAGCATTTAGGACTTGAACCTTTATTAGAGAAATAGAGTAACTGCTGATTGATAAATGCTATGATATTCGTTTACACAGTGGATTATGTTGAACTAAACAAATATTGTTTTCGAAACTTCACTCATCAACTGTGTTTGAAGAACTTCATGTAACTAAAATTAACATACATTGATTGACTGCTTGTATATAGAAATAATTTCTAATCAATAAACTTACGTTTATTACACGGCACAAATGATTAATTTGTTTAATTATTCTCAAGAAACAGGGTAAAATATTTTTCTGATTCAGGCATTTTTCATTAAATCAAGATTTGTACTACGATACAACGTTAAAATGTTTATTTATCTATTCGGATTTCCTTGTTGATATCGGTACGCATCAACGTTGATGCCGGTACGCATACAACAACAGATCTCTCTTCATATACACGACGACTAATCACAATCGACCCGTATAGAAATGATATCATCGAGAGCAAATGACGAATCATTGGCACTCGACCTTGCCGTAACGGACTTCCGTTGCATTTGTACGGATTTACACCCTAGTCGCGCCTAAATTAGTTCTACTTCAAAAATAATGTTATTAATATCAATTTTTATCGATTCGGTGAAATCATCACATAAATGTAGATGTCACTGACAATGTTATTAGTAGTAGTAATAGCAATGGCTCTAGTAGTGTATATTAAATTGATTTTATTCACAAAGTAAAAATTGTTATAAAGAACTGGAAATTTGATAATCTTTTTGGTATAACTTAATATAAGCTTAATGTCTAATAAAATATTTCTGGTAAAATTTAAAAGACACACCAAAAAAATGCTGGATGTAGATTTGATTTTATATAAGAACTACTACTTTTTATAAAAAAAATAGAGAGTTATTGTGCGACAATTTTAAAATAGTAAATTAAAAAAAATTTTTTTTAATGTAATACATTTGGTAAAACTTGGAACAAAGAGCAACAGAGTAGTCTATGACTTTAGCTCTACTAAATGTAAATGAAAATGATGTAGTAGTTTGATTTAAAGTAAAAATTGCAACTGTCTGGATGAAAAATTGGAAATTTGGGATAGTGAAATTATTTGGTTATGATTTCTGGTAAAACTTGGAATGAAGAGCAACAGCTTAGTAAAGAAATCTGACAAAAAATAATATTGATATGAATATAAAGTTCTTTATATTTGGTATATTAAATAGTAAGTATGTGAAAATTACAACTTACGAGTATTTTGAAAATCGGAGATTTGAGAATATTATTTGCTAACAACATAATATAATATTTTTATTTGGTAGTAAACTGTTTTTTATTAGTTGCTAACATAATATAATATTTTTATTTGGTAGTGAAATATTTTTTATTTTGCCGGTGAAATCATGAAATATAATTTGGTAAGAATGATGTATTTAATTAGATACATTTGATGTAAAATTTACATTTTTTCTAGATGAAAATTAGAAATTTGAGAAATACATATAATTCTGCAAGATAATATTGGAAGAAAAGCGTTATTTGGTGAGAAAATGTTTAGGACAAAGTTAGTACCTACAAACGGCTATTTTATCAGAATAGAACATGTTATAACTTACTATATAAAAATTATATCTACTTCTATAATCTTAGAGTTTTATATAATTACTATTATTTTATTATTATAAAATTGAAATAGTGAATTTACAAGGAGGTTTTTCAAGAAAAGTTTTGTATGAATATGTAGAATCAAAATAGTGGCCGTATAATTTTCTATAAGAATAATTTTCTATAAGAATTTAAACATACTTTTGAACATAAAAATTGAGAATATTATTAGTGAATATTATATTTTTATTATAAAATGAGTAGGTAGGTTAAGAAAATATGTTTGCAAAACTTAGTATGAATATGTGTAACTTTGTGTAAGAATAGTGGCCGGTAAAATTTATTTAGTTATTTAAAAAAATTATGATAAAACTTCGTATAAAGCAGAACAAATTAGTGAAATCACAATAGTAAATTTTATCAGTATTATAAACATTTTAAGTAATTAGTAAAATCCGCATAGTGGAAAAATAAAATCAAACTGAAAAAAATTGCTACATCAATCCTTTTCGTATAAATATTACGATTGTATTTAAAAACTCAGAATTATGTTTAGTTAGGAAATGTTTCTGGTAACATGAAATTGAAAACATAATAACTTCGATCGGTTTTATCTAAAAATTTCAACTTATAAAAATTCAGATATTGAATGTTAAAATTGATTAAACAATATACAGTACACCCCTTTGTCCCCAATTTACAAAAAAAAAAAAAAAAAAATAGGCTTAAATATAATTAATATTAACGATCCTCAAATTACATAGGAAATGAAAAAAATCAAAAGTTAATATTTGTGTAACAAGGGCATAATTTTTTTTAGAAATGACTGTAAAATAGATTAAAAAGTTTGGAAAACAATTCTTAAATTAGAATGAATTTTCATTAGTATTCGTTTTAGTTAGTATTAGTATAATTATTGAAAACAGAAATGTATTTTTTCTATGAGTTTCTAGTAATCAGTAGTAAACAAAGTTTAAAATATATATAATTTTGAGTTGAAATAACAAAAACTGATTTAAAAAAATGATAGGCAAAATTTAGCATTTTCATTTCTGAAGACAGAAAATAAATGCAAGGTTTAAAATATGTGTATAGAGCTCTAAATTTGTTTGAAAATAATGAAGTGAGCTATGAACTAATTGAAAATTTGGAAAACAATACTACACACCATAAACTCTGATTAATGAAATTAGAATTTTTTCTGCTAAATAAAAAATATGTTAACAATAATATATTTATGATATTATTATTATTCTTAATCTATAATAATAAATATCATTTATAAATAATTTTTACCTTGCGTCTACGCTTTTCCTTGACACCTGGCCGTGGTAGAAAATCTTCTGGTATGGAAACCGTTTAATGTCCCTCGCATTTTGGCCTTTTGACTCTTGCAATCACTCATTTTCCAACAAAAAAAATTCCTATTGTACTTGTTCAAAATATCACATAAACACTAACTGAGTTTATCGAATTTCACACAATATCACATTTATTACAACAAAGTTTGAGTCCATAGTTGGTATTTATTTGAGCATTAAAAAATTTATGTAGAAATGTTTTTGGTATTAAAAAGTTGGGCTTTCAATTCACATTTTGGTGATGAAAATTTGAGACTAGAAATTTGAAATAATAAGTATATATATATATATATATATATATTTAGTTATTTATAATTATCTACTATAAATCACATCACTTATCCTTTCCTACGTTTGCAAATTCTAATAATAGTGATTTCTGTGCACCGTGTCGTTATTTATAGTGAAAGTGTACTGTCATAATGTTTATGAAGTCAACATCAGTTTTGGACCAACATCAGGAAATTTGTCTTTTAACACTTTCAGGAAATTAGAAAAAAGCATGAAAATATAGTGGAAAATTATTTTTACCGACAACAATGAATTGGTAAACAAATATGGCATGGTTGATGATTATACAAATATTTCTGAAGAAACATTTTTCGCCATTAGTGGACATTGCATTTGAATTTCTATAGGTCATTTCCAGAAACTTTTCGGAAATAACTATAGTTTCCAAATAAGTTTGAGCCAGCGAAATCTTCAAGAAAATTATTTCTTCATATAGGTAAATATTAACTTTGAAGAAATTCAGGTCTACCCTACTGCGAATTTGATAAAAAGTGCATTGTTGATTAATAATAAAGATTATTTTTGAAAAAAAAAATTACAAATGACTCATAGATCCAGAAATGACATTTGCCTCAATGGTCAGGAAAAATTTGACCCACCCTAATGGTGAATAATAACCGCATCATACTTTTGTTTTTTTTTGGTAGATTTAGTGTGCAAAATATGTTTCAAGAAATAATTAACAGCTACATGAATAATTTAAAGAAATATGTTTTTTGTACATTCTCAAATTGTTGTCAATCTTGTAAATTAATATGATGGGGTGTATTTTGAAAAACAGAACAAATTTAGAAAACAGATTTCAAATAAATTATTACTGGTTACAAAGATGATTTTTTCTATAACGTGATTTGATTGAAGAATATTTCTCAAATCAACTACATAATCATAATTACTACTAAAATTTAATTGAACATTGTAATTGAATCATGTGAAATAAAGGTAGGTATGTGTGGCATTTTGCCTCAAGGTAAGTTCTCATTATTTGTGCAATAATTGACCTAATCAACCAAAATTGATATTTCTCGAGGACATTTAAATAATCTGTAATTGTATTAACTAACATATTTTTTGAAAAAACTTAAAGAGTTATTTGTGAAATATTTAGCAAAATACTGACACGATTATGTATATCGTGTACGTAGTTCTTGATATTATTTAATAATTTAAATTAACGGTAACATTTTTTGAACAATTAGAGAAGTTTTGTAGACTTATCCTTAGGTATCACAGATATAGAAAGTCTATTTAGATAATTATGAATTAATTTCAGTAAACAATACACAAATGTATGAACTTGATGAGAGCAAGATTTATGCAAAAACTTGTACAAAAAAGCACTTTTTGTTAATTCCAAAGAAACGGCTTGGCGTTTTTGAATTTGTAAAATTGGTTAAGCCATTTTGGACAAAACGTCAAGGAAATTCAAATTTATGCTCAACACATCACAAAAGCGACTTTTCACACAATTTCGGAGCATCATATTGTTCAAAACTTTGATGACTTTTTAAAATTAAACCACTTGTCTTAGAGCGTAAAGATTTCAGTATGTTCTATAGGATCATGGTCTCTATAAACAACTTCATCAAAACTGTGCAAAATTTTTTTACTAATAAATGGTTCAGACCAAAAACTAATTCCAACGCGATTACCAAAATCTGCTCACACACACACACTACAGGCTTTTTTCAAATTTGGTCTCAATCATTTCGGAATGACTTGAAACGTCAAGAAAACACAAAATTAGCAAATCGAAGTTTCTGGCAAAAACATAAACGTCTCTATCGTAAAATTTAAAAGATTAAAGCGACTTTGCACACAAAACCATATTGTTTTAAACTGTCATGAATTTTTGAAATTAAAACACTTGTCTTATTATTGTATTAGGGAGTTACAATTTCAGTATGTTCTATAAGACCAAGGTCTCTATAAACAAATACATCAAAATCATCCAAAAAATTCTTTTCAATAATTAATTACTAAAAACAGCCCGGCTTTGCCGTAAATGAATCGACACGATTCCCAAAATCTGATCACACAAACACACATACACTACATGTCTTTATCAAATTTAGTCTCAAACGCTTCAGAATCACTTGAAGATATAAAACTAGCAAATCGAAGTTTCTGGCAAAACAGAAACCTTGAAAGAATTTGTTGTCAAACATGCAATTGGTAAATACTAGAAATATTGGTCACCACCAATTACAGAAATAACCAATAAGAAACATTTACAAAATTTTCCACAAGTATAAAATCCAATCCACAAACTCGTGTTGTTGTATTAATTAACTCCTGAACTTTAAATTTAAACAATCAAACCAATCCAATAACAATTATTCAAACTTTTATCACACACTGATAAACACCCATAAAACAACATTTTCAATGCCGATCAATGACGACATTGAAAACACGAACGCACGCACAAACGCTGGAAAATCGGGGAAAACACCTTTTTCTGCACAGAAAACCACCCACTTTATAACAAAATCACTTGTAAATTGATCAAAAATATATTCATCATTGTTGTAAAATATTGTAGAATTGAAAATATACGACGTATGCAACACGTTATAAATGATACCCCCGAATCGAGCGGACGAAAATTTTAATCAATAAAATACCTGGACCGAACGCGTTTTAGCACAACACCTCACTTATTTCCACTAAGTCACAGTAAGGTCGATTCGTCGACATTGGTGTGTTTGATATTGTTGTTGGTTTTTTTGGTTGTTTGTTGGTTGGATAGAAAAATATTGTTTAGTGAAAATCAAGTCACACACAATGCTTCTTGCACTTGTACTTGTGCCTACTACTGGTAGGAGTAGTTATTTGGTCGAGTGCGTGCGCCGGTCTCTCTATCGGGATGTAGCGCTACTAAAAATCTTGCGTGATAGACAACGAAGCAACGACATCCTTCACCAATACGAACAAGTAGATTTCTAGGTGTTGGTTAAGGCAGTGATGGTCATGGAGCGGTTTGCTTCGAATTGATTATGAGTAAGATGTCCGTGCGCACTGGATTGGGCAGCAAAGTTTGCCCGGAACAAGGGATTTTGGTGCCAAGACTGTCCAGAGTTTTTAAAAATGCCGTAACATAATTAACTTACAGTAGAGCAAGTTATAGTAATCTCAAAACATTAGAAAGTGAAATTTTTTGCATATATTTACGTTTCAAAAGTTTCTGAACATTTTGGCATACCTTAGAAAAAATGGATGTATGTATGTGTGAGTGTATGTTTGGATACAATTTTTCGTCCACGATTTCGGGTTTACGATTTAAAATTCAATTCCTATTGATGAGAAGACGTGCTGATTAGTTTTTGGTAAAGACAGGTCCAGCCGTTTCGAAGATACGGAGCAGAAAGTCTCAAAAATGATAATTCAGTTTTTGAAAGATTTGAATGATTTAAAAAACATTTTGCTTGTATTGATGAAATAAAGAATTGGTATAATTTTTCGTAAAGCAGGTCTATTGGTTTCGGAGATACAGAGGAAAAAATAAAAAAAAAATATATTTGACGGTCAAAAGTGATCATTAGACAAATGCACATCTAATTATCAGATATTTTATAATGATTTTAAACATGTGAACTATAAATGAACTTTTAGGGTTCACTTATACGGCTCAAACAAATTTCAAAATTTTCAGATTTTTTTTCAAAACTTTCAAAAATATATTAATGAAAATACATAAATTTTAAATTTACATTTCAGTTTGAAAATGTATATATTTTATATGCGTCATTTTACTCGTAAGAAATATATCCTCAGATGGATTCATTCGGCATCTCTTCTTAATGTAAACATTTTTAAGTGTTTTGAGCGATGAGATCGTTAACGTATATTATATTTACGAATAAATATTGTCTTTAAAAATATTTAAAACAATTGTAATTAATCGTTGATCAGCATTTTTTGATTATTAATTTATTTTGCTACAATACCTAATTTTGGTACTGAAAGGTTTAAAAAAATTCAAACTAGTTTTAAAAAAAATTCAAAAATAGTTCAAACTTAAAATTGTCACCACTAGTAATTGGCTTGTTGCCTTTCCAAAAGGCGAAAATAATCGACAAAATCGATAAGATTCCTTTTCCACTCCTTTGGGGGCGTCCATTAATCACGTGATCGATTTTTTGACCCCCCTACCCCTTGGTAATACGTAGTGATATTCAAAATTACCCCACCAACATCATGTGTATTTTCAGTTACGAGAAAAAATTGTAGATTTTTATTGAAAAGGTTTGGATTTTTCAAAAAAAATCAGGTATAAAATAAATGCGATATTTCACTATCCTCGACGTAAATTTTCGAAGCAAAGTCATTTTATTGGACCCTTCTATGGATAGAAATTACTACAGCTAGCTACATCTACTATGCAAAAATCGCCTCCCATATATACTCACAATCACTCATATACTTTTCCACTTTTGGTCTCAAACGACTCAGAATGATTTGATACATCGAAAAAAAAACAAAATGCAAGTAGAATTTTCTGGTAAAAGCAAACTTTTTCCATGCTCTTTCCATACAAACTTTGATTGAATTGCGCTCTATCTAAACGTTAATATTAAGAGCTAAAACTTTCAAAGAATTGTTTTTTAACAATTTGGAACCATTTGAGGCCCTGGGAGCAAGGAAATTCGAAAATGACCATATATAATATATGTATATATATATATATATATATATATATATATATTTATATACAATATATCCCATGTACTCTTTTAAATGGTTGCAACTCAAATACTATTTAAAATATCGATTTAAAACTTTAGTATGTTATTTTTAAAGGTATAACCTATCGAAATATGAAAAAATTCAAATTCAAATCACAGAGATGGGACAACCGTTTGTGTTGCCATATATCAGAGCTACGACATTCAAGCCCAAGGAACTTGTTGAGATATGATTATTGTTAAAAATGCATAAATATATATAAATAAATAAATAAATAAATAAATGAATATGTTACACAAGTACTATATTTAGATGATCAAAGTAGGTGTCTTTATGATATACTCCGCCGTTCTGGGTGTTCAAAAAACAAACCCAATCCCTCATCACCTCGACCGTTCCTGCTTTGTGTACACATACACCATCATCCTACCAGACCTACACCAGCATCGAGAGCAAATCATGACAGCGTAGAATCGCACATTTGCCATATCCTACGTATGAAAATCAGTCGATTCGTGCAAAACTGGGCCTTAGTCCAATGCTGCCGAGAGAGCGAATTCGCTCGACGACAGAACGAACGAACGACCGACCGACCGAACAAGCCGGGACCGAAATAATCGTTAAATTCGCGCAAGCGTTGGAGGTTAGAAAACGGAGGACGGCGGATGGAGGTTAGAGGATGGCGGACGGAGGACGGTCGTCACGTAACGCAGACGGCGGTCGTGACGGAGTAACGAGAACGTCGCAGGGATACAGGGATAACAGTGACTGAGGTCGAAGATTTCATTGGGATTGAGGGCTAGCAAATTGCTGAAATTCGTCATTCTTATCTCCGAAACCGCTAGACCTGCCTTACCAAAAATTTCATGAATATAAGTAACATGCTTTTTGAATCATTCAAATTAGGTACTCCTTTCTCTCAAAAAAAATGAATTACCGTTTTTGGCACTTTTTGCCCCGTATCTTCGAAACGGCTGGTCCCGTCTTCACCAAAAACTAATCAGCACATCTCCTTATCAATATGAATCAAATGTTTGTTAAATTATTCAAATTGGTTGATCCGTGTTCCTGAAAACGTCGACGAAAATTTGTTTCCGAACACACCCACACATACTCATTTTTCCTAAGGTATGCCAACATGTTCAGAAACCTTTGAAACGTAAAGATATATAAAAATTTCCATTTTCGTTTTTTTGCGATTACTATAACTTACATATATATATTTCTTCTACGCTCAAATGTAATTGATCCTGCATCGAGCAGCCTTATGTCAAGCAGTAGTAACATCACTTGAAAATATAAATATAGTGGGCATAGCATTGTGCCCTCAGGCAAACTATTCCCGTACGGTAATTTAAATTTTTTTAAGCTCAAATTAGTAAAATTAGATTTTTGTATTAGTATTTTGAATTTGTTTGTACACTTTTGAAAATTGAAAAATTTGAATATTGAAAAAAAATGCCTTTTCTGAAAATATTGATATTATTTGAAAACTTTTAGATAATTAAAATTTTTGGATTTATTTTAAATTTAATTTTTTTTGTAATTTCTTGAAAGTTTTTGATGCCCATTCATATTGGTTGTTTCTAATTGAAAAATATCTGATTTTCGACCGCCAAATGACATTTTTTAACTTCCCATAGGGTTATTGTAAATTGTAATCGTCAAAAAATCGAAAATGAAATTTTTTGCATATCTTTACGTTTAAGAAATTTCTGAACATTCTGGCATATATGTGTATATATGTTTGAATACAATTTTTCGTGCACGATTTCGTGAACACATATTTGAATGATTCAAAAAACATTCGATTTTCTATTCTAAGGAAACGTGCTGATTAGTTTTTCGCAAAGGCAGGTCCAGTGTTTTCGAAAAAACGAGCAAAAAGTGCTAAAAATGTTAATTCAGTTGTTGAGATAATAGAGCGTTCGATTTGAATAATTCAAAAAACTCTTTATTTGTATTGACGAAATGAAGAACTGATAAAATTTTTGGGTAAATTGGGACTCGAAACGTATGGGTAGACAGGATCAGCGGTTTCGGAAAATCAAAAAAGAAATTTAAAAATGCCATTTGGCGGTCAAAAATAATCATTTTATATGTGCACATTAAATTATTACATATTTTTATATAGACTTTAGTAATAAATACAAATTTTATTGTTTTGTACAAAAATAAATATATGTACTTACAAATATAAATAAAACCAAATCAGTCAGATCAATCAATTTATTATCTAATTTCCATGTTTAATTTTTGTTATAAATGTATCTTGTGTTTATATTTTGCATTATAGAAAATTTTCCTTTCCTTCTTGTTTCTGACACTATTGTATCACACCTTTTATATTTAAAATAATAATTATTGTATTGATAGAACAGATATTAGGGATGATATATCTGCGGGTAGAAATTCGAACAGTATCGGAAGTGTTATGAATACATTCATAATTATTGAAATATATGTCTTTATATATCAATTTTGCATTATCTTAGATGTTCTTGAGTGGATAAATCATCTATAACCCCATCTTGTTTGAGAACTCCAAACAATATTTGGATTATTTTCAACAAATTGGTATGGAAATAATAAAATATATAAAAAAATATTTCCATGTATAAAAATATATATTAAATTTGGTTGATTATGAAACTTTACAAAATGTCATGACCATTTATTTCTCTCCAAATTCACACCTAGTCCACTTGATTCTCACACTGGTAATATCTGGACAAAGTGATCACAGAACTATTTACAAATACCGTATAAAGTTCTTTTCATCGGGATCACTATTGACAATAGTTTTATTTTGATTTCTCTCTTGGTAAGTTAACAGCATCAGATCATAATTTGAACCATGAACTGATATTTCTTGTACAAATTTTTTGACATCTTTCATATAAACATCCTCCAAAAACAGGTTTTTTTCGAGAATTCCACTAATTATTCCATTATCTCAAACTGAAAAATTCCCTTTTCATAAATTTCAAATTAAACCAAAAAAGTGCTAAATGAAGCACCTCTATGCTAAGTATTATTATAGTCTTCTATCTTATTTACAACTTTCCATAAGGCCTCGGGGCACAAAAAATTTAATCTTATCCAAAATCTAAATTTGAATTCATCTGTCTTTATTTGGAGATTTTTTCATTATTTTAGAAGTATTCTGGAAAGAAAAGGTAGTTGGAATATCCATTTTCTGCATGACTACTAGCTGGCCAAGATCTTCTTGCTATGTGTGTATGAAACTTAAAATCCCGAAAAATCTGACCTTATCCAAAATCTAAATTTGAATTCACTTGTCTGGAGATTTTTTTATAATATTAAAAGCATTATGAAAAGCAAATAGGCTTGCAATACCATTTTCTGCATGACTACTAGCTGGCGAAGGTCTACTTCCTACATGTGTATGAAAAATACAATCCCGATAATAAAGCAATATATTTTGTTATATTTTTCAAATGCAATTTATTCATTAACGTATACAATATAACTCGTAATACTTATACAATATATAACAAATATTCAGTTCCGGGTCGATCGTTGGGGTCTTTGAATTCCTAAATTTTTAAAACTATTTAGAAGGATCCTTCGTCATATTTTTTGTAAATTTGAGGATGTTCGGCATGTCCAATTCTCTTGACGATGGCGTTGAAGCCATTGTGTTTGTCGGCAGTGTATTCTACGACTCTGGTAGTGCCATCAGCTTCTTTTAGCATGTAACCTCCTTCATAGAAATAGTCAAGTATAAATCCATAATAAAAGATAGAAGTCTTTAGTAAGTAATTTCAACAGCCCATCAAAATTATTATTCACTTAAGCTTTGTGTTAAATTTTGCATTAATTCTAAATAGTTCGTACCAAGTACCAATCCATATCTAAAAGATCCCAACACCAATTATATTCTTCCTCGAGTTTTGTAGAAAGAAAATCTACAGGTTCTATATGAATTTCTTGTTTTTAGTTAGTTTTTAATTTATATTAATCAGCAATCTAAACTAATGAAATCTACATTTTCAAGTCAACCTTTTTAATTGAAATCAAGTTGTCAATTCAACCAAAAACCTTGCCTAATTACCAGGTCAAAGTTCTAACTTTTCTACTAGCCACGACAAGCTCAATTTTTTAAATTTGTTATAAATAGTAATATGTCTACTATATCATAGATAAAGAAGTCTATGCCTTAAATGGACAGAAATTGTACCAAGTACTAATCCATATCTAAAGAATTCCAAAAACACCAATTATATTCTTCCTTAAATTTTGTAGATAGCCAATCCTCATGTTCTATAGAAATTTCTTATTTTAAGTTTGCCTTTGAAATATAGATCTCAAAAATGTTTAAGATCTACCTATATTTTGAAGCCAATATTTTAATTGATATCAAGTTGTCAATTGAACCAAAAAACTAGGCCAAAGTTCTTATCCCTCGATCACCTCAAGCTTAATTTTTGAAATTTGTAATGAATAGTGGTATGTCTAACTATACCATAAATAAGGAAGTCTATGCCTTAAATGGGCAAAATTTGAAATATTATCCAAGATGACTTTATTGGTAAAAATCTCTTGCAAGCTTAGCAGGAATTTCTGTTTTTGAGAAAATTTTCAGATAATTCCCGAGAAAATTTAGAAAAAATACCCGACACAATATGTTTAAGTTCAATACAAAGTTAGAGTTCAAGATAACTTTATTGGTAAAAATATCTTGCAAGTTTAGCAGGAATTTCTGTTTTTGGGAAAATTTTGAGATACTTCTTAAAAGAATTAAGTAAAAGTACGCGGCAAACTTACTATTCAAGATAACTTTGTTGGTAAAAATCTCTTGCAAGCTTAACATAAATTGGGGAAAATTTCTGCTTTTGAGAAAATTTTGAGGCAATTCCTGAGAGAATTTAGAGAAAACATACACCAAAATCTCTTGCAAGTTGAATTAGTTAAAAAATATGAATACTTTCATCATCAAAAATATTATATAAACTTGTACCTTTGACAACATCTCCATGTCTGGTTTCCCATGCCTTTTTGTGGTCACCTGTATGATGGTCTTTTACAGCATAATCGTATTTGTACTCTGGGAAGTGCTATATAATATATTAAAAATATTTTTATAATAATTCTTTCTTATCATTTAACAATATGAATCAGATTTTGAGGTATTCTATTATAAGTTGTCTTGAACTATGTCTATTTCTACTTGGCTATTAGAGGCCAATCCATAAATTGCCTGAGAAACTAGATAAGATACTATTTTATTTATTTTTTAAGCAAACGCAATCCAAATGTTTTATAGCAACAAATCATAGAAAAATTGCTTGCAATTACTGCTAGAAATATTTCATCATTTAAATTTTGAAGTCAAAAAAAATATTTTTGCTGCTTGGTCACGATCAAGATAGGTCGAGGTAAGTATTGAATCTGGTGCAAGGACCAAGGCTCTTACCCCTATGCCACGGGGGACCCCATTAGAATTCTTGAATTAAAAAAAGTATCCACAAAAACAATATTAAGCATGCAAATACAACATAAAATTATGCAGATATAGCAATATATTTGGTTGAAATCGATTTTTTCCTGAGTGGAAATCATTTCTTAGTCGAAACCTCTTTTTTATACATGTTTTATTTTTAAGTTCTTCCAAATCATTTAAATATTACTATTAGAATTATTCATTAGAAACCAGATTAAAATATTTATTGTGCCGGGAATAGCTCACTTAGTAGCATTCCCGACTCGCATGCCGGGGATACTCGGTTCGAGTCCTTGGCCCTGACATAGAATTTTCATTTGATTTGTTGGATTGAAATTAAGAAGAATATGATTTGCTCATTTGAATTAAAAGTAATTATTTAATGTGAAAATGTAAAAACAATGTAGGTATGGCAAGTGCTCTAAGTAAGCAAAACCAAAAAGAAAAATTCCAGTATAAGGTTATCGTGAAATTGCATTATTCTAAATTTCTGCATTATGATTCTATTATTTTACAAAAATCCTTAATAATTGGTAAAATAAACCATTGACATTGAAACTAAAATAGATTTCCTACAGAGTGGTCAGATACAGAATTTTCCAGTTTAATCGATAATATAGACACCAAAATATAAATTGACAGCAATTTAAATATAAATATTTAATGATAGTACATTACGCACTTTGTCCATTAGATTTGATGGCGTTTTTTTACATTTTTTATTAATGCTAATAACTCGAAATTATAGAGATATATTTAGATAAAATTATTCTCCCTTGTAGATAAATACATATAAAAATGTGTATCTTCGAATAATTTATTTTTGAAATATAATTCATATTTATTTATTTTATATTAACATGCTTTGTTTCTAAGTAATAATTTTCTTTGACACGTTTTTGTTTTGTGTTTAGTGCACTAATTACTCTTGTGTACTTTTTCAATGATAAGTCAAATTGGGATTCGAAACGTATGGATCCATTAAATTTATTTTAAGAGACATAATTTAGTTTTCTTTATATTTATCATTTGGATGGATGCCTGTTTAAAGTTTTTTGGTTTTATCAACTTCCGAGATAATTGTCACACTTTAAAAATGATATTTATATTCATATTAATATTCCTTCATTGTCTAATGTCAAACTGTATATATTTGTCTATCAATTTTTTCTTACAATGAGAGTATCATTGTTTTGTAATTGTTGGTAAAATTGTTTCTGAAACCTAAATTTTAACCAATATAAAAAAACTTGTGTGAAATTTTCAAAAAATCGAATTTTCAATTTTATATTATTTCGATAGGTTATACCGTTAAAAATAACATACCAAAATTTTAAATCGATATCTTAAATAGTTTTAGAGTTACAGCCATTTAAAGAGTATATATATAATATATAGTATATGGATCATTTAATCTTTAAACGCGTTTTTCTCGAAACAGCATTTTCCGAATTTGCTGAGCGATTACTCAAAAACAAATGATCCGATCACTATCAAATTTTGTTTACCTGCTCTATATATAGTTCTCCGTAAAATGAACTATCGTTTTTTTAATCGGATCAAAAATCGAATTTTGGCAGTCCAAAAACGACCAAAATTTTGGGTAAAATACGACTTTTTTTTAAAAAACGCCGTCATTTTGTCAATTTTTGATTTTTTTTCTTTTTCTTAGTTCATTTTACAGACAATATTATCTAGTTTAACGAGATTTATTTTTAATTTCATACACGTAGAAGACCGGAATCACTGCAGCAGCGAAGAGCCTTTTTTGTCGCGCCGTTGGAGATCGTCGATAACTTAAAAAATATTCAATTTTTTTCTTCAAAAATTTTACTATGTATTCTTAAAACATGTATAAATATATTCCTAAAATTTTGAAATGATTGATAAAGTAGTTTTTTTAATATAAATTCCCAAAAATTACCTTTGTTTTAGGCGGTTACACTAGATGTGCCCCTTAATATTCTTTCGTTTTATAATGTCATACCTATATAAACCTTTTTTTTGACAAATTTTCAAACTGTATATGTTTGGCTATCAATTTTTCCTTACAATTAGAATATCATTGTTTTGTAATTATTGGTGAAATTGGTTTTCAGTATTAAATAAATCCTAAATTTCAACCAAAACATATAGATTTAACCCTATATAAGAATTTACTTTTATTACCAAAACTCCAGAACGCACGAACCGATTTCGACAATTTTGCATTCTTTGGAAAGGTCTCGGACTGCGCAAGATTTATAGCTAAGAAAATTCGTAGTGCATGGCATCGTGCTCTATTGCAAATTGCTGGAACTTCACGCACCGTAATTAAAAATTCGAGTAATAAAAATAATCAATAATTGTTTTAAATAATTGCTAGTAGATTATCTTCTATAAATATAAAAATAAGTCAATTCAATTTTTTATAATTTTTCTACATACATCATGGTAATAGTGGTGTCCGCCTTCACCGCCTCCGTTGCCGCCACTTTCGCCAGATTTGGCGGTCTGGTGGAGGTTCTGGAAAGAGTAAGCGTGTCCATGTCCGCCACCGCCGCCACTGCCGCCTTCACCGCCCTCGAAGCTTCCGAAACCGCCACCGCCGCCACTGATGTAACCGGCGCTGGCACCTCCAAGGGCGACACAGACTAAAGCAACCTGGAATAAAAAAATATGGTAAATATTGATAAAAATAATTAGACTAGTGGTGTATGACATCGTGCCTTAAGGCAAATTGCTGAAACTTCCCAAAAATTATAATTTTTAAAAAAATTAAGATTTTTTGAAAACTGATAAATTAGATTTTGGTGAATTTTGAATTTTATGAAAATAAATTCTATTATATTTTTGTATGGTTTTATTCCTATAATTATTGAAGTAAAACTTCTTTAGACGCGACTAGGGTGTAAAACCGTACAAGTGAAACGGAAGTGCGTTACGGCAAATAAGATAAGATAAGAGTCGAGTGCCAATGATTCGTCATTCGCTCTCGATGATATCATTTCTATATGTATGTGAATAGAAATCTGTCGATGTATGCATACCGGCATCAACGTTGTATGCGTACCGATATCAACAAGGATCGGCATAGATAAATAAGCATTTTAAAGTTACATCGTAGTACAAATCTTGATTTAATGAAAAAAGCCTGAATCAGAAGAATATTTTACCCTGTTCCTTAATATTTCACCCTGTTCCTTGGAAATTAATTCTATATCATTCGTAGTTTCTATAAATCTTTGAAGTTATTAAAATGGAAAATATTTTTAGACAAGGCAGATATTACAGCTGTTCAAAGAATGAGATTAAATCGCCAGCGAAAAAGTAAACTACAAGCAGTCAATGAATGTATGTTAATTTTAATTACATGAAGTTCTTCAAACACAATTACATGATAAGTGAAGTTGCGAAAACAATATTTGCTTAGGCGTTGTTTAACATAATCCACTGTGTAAACGAATATTATAGAATTTATTAATCAGCAATTACTTCATCTCTTTAATGAAGGCTCATTTCTAAATGCTAATTAGAATGACAAACCGATCATGTCATATTTGAAGCATGACTTTAATTACATCATTGTTTTTAAATATTATACATATTTTTAATGATATTATAAATACGTAATTTATAATTTATCATTATATAAATGTGTATAATGGTTGAAACTAATAAATGTGTGCATCACGAATGTTACCATATTACTAATGAACATTATTCAAAATTGTTATATGATGTATTTATTTTTACTTAAATGCCATCTCTTTTTACTTACAACAAAGAATTTCATCTTGTCTTCTGAATTTATTGTACTTATCACAACACTGATAATCGTGTAACTAATATCTTAATCAAAAATTCTCTGTCTTATATATCACTGCCGCAAATAAGTGAAAAACACAAAATTAGACTTTAAATTGTGTCACATTATTATATTCAAGACCAAAATTATGTAACAAGTTTTCTAATTTCATTTAGCAATAGTCTATATTACTAATGGGAATAGTTTTGCATACACATATTATTATTTCTTGTGCAAAATTTGTTAATATTTATATACTTATACATGTGAACAAAATAAACCGCATGCTCAAGTTTCACATGCATTAAATATTTGTAAAACCACAAAGAACTGTTTTTTTGGTTCATGCAGATATATACATTTATAATTATATACACACACACATATATATATATATATATATATATATAAATATATATAGATATATATATAGGGTAGGCGGGGCAAAAAGATCCAATTTGAATTTTAGCAATAATATTGTAAAATCCAAATAAATTTTATTGCAACAAATAACACATATCAGAAAAACAACTATCTGACTATGGTGAGTGAAAAACCCAGCTAATTCGGGAGAAATTTGTTTTTCAAAAATTTGTCACTTGATTCTTTTTACCCCATAGGCGCAAACAAGTTTAATGTCTTATTTGCAGTTTTTAATGGATTTTGCAAAGTAATATCCACATTATTCACCCAAAGTGAAATGATGGGTACATTTTTTACAGATTTAGCACTGTATATAACCTTTATCTTGTATCCAGTCAGAAATATTTATCAGCAGAGTTGGATTCAATATTTCATTATTTTAACTCGTGTAAAAATGCTTTATTTATATCAATTTACTTTTCCATTACTACATTTACTTGTTAGGTGACCAAGTTAGATGTGAATGTATAGAGAACATGTCAAATTAAAAACTGTTTCAGTAGTTTAGTTCATTTCCGAAAAACTTCGTGACATATCAAAATCAAAAGTAAGGGAAATCTAGATACGGTTTTTCCCTTTTTTCTGATAAGACCTAATTTTGTTGAAATACCAGTTAGCTCAGTAAATTTAATGGTAATTTGAAAATTTGTCTACGTGGAAATATTGAAGTACTGTCTTTAAATACGATAGATTAGTCATAAAATCAAATCACACAAAAAAGGCCAGTGGCAAAACCGGCCACATACGCGGGACGGTTGTGACAGCGATTAAGGTCATTAGTGAAAATAAATAAAATATAAGTAAAAAATGATTATAACAACATCATGATAATTGTTTATTATTAACTTCCCAAAGGAAAAGTTTATATTTTCATAAAAAATCCGATTCGCTAATTTTATGTTTTCTCTGAATCGATTTTGAAAATTCAAAAACCGTTCGAAAGATATTGGTTGGATTTAGTGCTGATTAATTTTTGGTAAAGATCGGCCGGGCGTTTTCTTGTAACAAAAATAAAGAAAAATCGACGATTTTTATGATTTTTTTTGACGGTAGATGCCATAGTCTAATACATTATACTAATATATTACGGCCCTACGACAAGTTGTTTAATTTTAAAAATTTGTCAAAGTTTGCAAAAATAAATATCGTTTTTTTTGCGTTTGTCAAAATTAGAACTTTCATCGACGTTTGCTTAAAAACGCCTGAACCAATTTCAAAGAATTTAAAAGCCAATCGATGTATTTCGATGTGCATTATCGTTTTTCTCAGTTTTGTGCAGCGATCGGCTAAGCCATTTCTTTGTAATTTGGAAAAAAGGGCTAAACTTTGCGTCCACATTTAAGCTAATACTACCGAATCGATTTAAAAAAATCAAAAACTGTTCGAAAGATTTTAGTTGGGAATAATACTGATTAGTTTTAGGTGAAAATCTGTCGAGCCGTTTTCTTGTAATTAACGGTTGAAAAAAAATTCCAGCCGATTTTTATAGAACTTTTTTTGGCGATATATATCATGGTCTTATAGAACTTACTGAAATATTACGGCCTTACGACAAATAGTTTAATTTTAAAAATTCAAAGTTAGATAAAATGAGTACTTTTTTTGATGTTTGTTAAAATTAAAATTAGACGATTTAATTGGTATAACGACAGAGTACTTGGTCTCGATGAACAAACTACACTGGTTCAATTATCAAAATTGTTGATTTTTGAAAATTTGCTTTTAAAAAATTCTCCGAGTTAACTTGTTCGAACGCTTTCAATTATGTGTAATAAATCCACTCATAAATTTATTTATTTTTCAAGTCGATTATTTACACATATCGGAAAGTTCATGTAACTTGCCTCAAGGCAAAATACCAATACCAACCAGTTTATACACTGTAGTAAGTAGTATAGTACATAGAACAAATACTTTATGATATTCAAAATTAACATCAAATCATCTGCATTCGCATATTTCTCCATTTATCATTTATTGCATTCAGACCTGTTCTCTCTTTGCCCAGCTGTCATTCAATCGTCTGATTTGAAATTTATTGATCTCGAAAAGAAAATAAACATAAAACGTCTATACTCATTATATGAAGTGTGTATAAACCAGTTTCTTCGCTTTTCTTTTTGCATCTAAAAATAAATGCGCCTGGTGGCTGACAACCGAAAGAACCGTCACAGTTCGTCGTCAAGGCACATGCGCACCAAACCTAATATTATAGGAGATAGGAGGACAGAGGACATTGGGAGAAAATTCGAGAATTATAATGAATTTAAGTGAAGATTATATGTGGCTAGGTATAAGTGACATTTTGATCTTCTCGCAAAGTCAGTTAGAGTAATCACCAAAAATTCAAAAGAGATTTTTTTAGTAAATAAAATTACTACTGACCATAATAATTTACCTGACTTAAGGACTCACTCTGGTGTCATCTGTTTTCAGGAATTAAGGAACTCTATTTTCCTTGAAAAAAAAAACTTATTTTGTAAATCTAATTACCAATTTTAGCACAGTGACTAACACTATTATTACTAAAACAAAATATTTTAAAACAAAATAACCTTTGGTCTATACAGATTTTTTTAAACCGACGATAGCGAAAAATATATTTATATAAAAAAGACGTATAATTGAAATATCTTTTATAGATATTATAAGGATAATATGAGGGTCCGATTCTGCCGCAATGTTATGATAAGGTCATGTTATGAAGAATTTTCCATAGTAATATAGACAAAAGTTATGCGGTTGGTGTTCAGTCAGGCGAATTTCTCAGGTTTTCTCATACAAAACATAACCTAAAAGCCGCACAAATGTCAAAAAAACGATGTTAGATAAGTGTGTGTTTCTGTTTCCTCTTAGGTAACATACGAGTGACGTTGCAGTTTATGTTTAAAACGCCGGAATGAACAGCAAATACATGATATTTTGACAGCATTCAGTATGATTCATTCGCATAATGTATGGGGAGTCGGAGCGTAACATAGCCATGCCGTAACATTTCTCTGTTATGCGCAGAATCGGTCCATGAGTCTCAATTTAAAATCGAAATATATTAGTATTACTAATACTGTATTAGTAAAAAAAAACTATCGAACGTCCCAGAAATCTCATTTATCAAATTAATTGTTTAGATTGCAACTACAAAAATTCGAGGAGAAATTTGCCACAATTTAATAAAACGAATTCAACCGCATAAAAACGATTAAAAAATCCCAGACAATTTAAAACTATGCATACAGAACATATTAATACAATAAGATATAATATAGATTTTTTTAACCCGACTAGATAATATATTAAAAAAATATATAGACAAAAGACGTGTCATTGTGGTATTTTTTATAACCATTATGAGAATAATATGAGTCTTAAGTCATGATTAAAATATATTATTCTTAGTAACACTATTTCTACTAAAACAAAAGACTTAATATCGGACGTATTAGAATTCACATTATTTAACATTTATTAAATTAAGTGTTTAGATTGCAACTCAACTTATATTTGAAAAATTAGCCAAATTTTAAAAAAATCTATTCAATAACATAAAAACGGTTGAAAAAATTCCAAATAATTTAAAACTATGCAAACAGAACATAATAAAACATTATAATATAATATTTATTTTTCTATTCCAACTATACTACATTTTAAAGAAAATATACAGAACATATTAACACATAATATAGATTTTTTTTTAACCCGACGATACTATATCTTCTTATATATAAAAATGTCTGTCTTTCAAATGTCGGAATAAAACTCGAAAACGGCTGAATGGATTTGGCCAGTCTTAGTCATGAAAAATTTGTGCCAATCCAGAGATGGTCGGACAGGTGAGATATTATTTCAAAATCGCGTAAAAACTTTACATTTTTAATTTGAAAATTTTTGTAGAAGCGTAACTTAAATAAAACAATGGACGGTGGCTAATACGTGAAATGTCAAACCTTTTTGACAGATGATGTTCAATTACGTTTAATAGGATGTTTTACGTGAATATTATTTAATTGAGAATAAATTGTAGTAAATAGTTTGGTTTGCAGTTTTATTTATATATAAAAACGTTAGTAAACGGGCCGCAAGTGTTACTAGAAACTAAATATCAACTTTTTTGAAATGTTAATATGAAAATGCACTTTTTGGCATATATTTCTCAAACACGGTGCTCTGATAGATCTCATTTGTGTAATTATATACTCATTAGTATTTATAAAACATTTTCTAGGTTATATTATTTTTTATTTAAGTTATTTAAATTCAAAACCTAAATTTGGTATCGATCAAAGGGACATTTTGCCGAATAACATTTTCCCAGTTATAATTTCGTAGATTTTATCGAAGAATAGATAGTAATATATGAAAGTCCGGGTTTAAAAAGGTCCACCAGCGATGTGTCAAAAACCAGTAGAGTTAAGCATTGTTTAACAAGGAATTGAAAAGTAGAGAGAAAAAGATGTATAACCAGCTATAACCTTGATTCTTATGACTTTGCTATCTGGAGATAAACTGTAATCTTTGAAAATTCATAATAAAAGTATTTTCTTCCGTTGGCAGTGTAATTATTTTGTAAAATAACTTTAAAATTAAAATAAGACATTCAACCTGTTCGCCACCTGGCTGTTCCAAGTTAGGGTAAAAAGGTCTAGATAACAATTTTTTGAAAGACAGCAAAAAAGCACAATTCTACAACGAGGAAGTAGCTGGCAGTTTTACTGAACGTAGTCAGATAATTGTTCGTTTGAAATGTGTTATTTGTGATATGATTCGTTTGCTTTTCATAATATAGTTTATATATGCTCAAAGTCAAATTGGACCTTTGTGCCTCGCCCTGCTCTACTCTATACTTTTTATTAAATTTACTTCAATTCATCGAATGTTACTTGAAACTTTTCAAAAAGCAGGTTAAAGAAGAAATACCTAATTCATTTTCTATCTCTCCTCGCAGAAATTTGAAAATTTTGTATTAGCTCAGTAGTATTATTTACAATTATACACAAAATCCTGAATCAAAAAAGAATCTGACAAACTTGAAACGTAATCAATATGTCGAAAGACCAAAAATGACTTGGATTGGATTATACCATGTTTTCTATAGAAAGTGTATAAAACTTCCAGTTTGATTGTATTGATAAAATATAGACAAACTAATGGGGTTTATTGTTCTTATAATACTTCATTGTATATAGCATTCAAACAACCCATGCTTATACACTTAAAGTGTTAATATTTTTGATTCTCTAGAAATTGTTTAGAATATACCTTACTTTGCAAAAAAACGTTTGCCGGGTCAGCTAGTTAAATTACCATTGAAGTACCATTGAAGTATCTTTTATATCCATTATAAGGATAATATGAGTCTTAAGTTATAATTAAAATTTATTATCATTAGTAACAAAAAAAATCTAACACTGTTTCTACTAAAACAAAAGACTTAACATCGAACGTCTTAGAAATCTCCTTTATCAAATTAATTGTTTAGATTGCAACTCAACTTAAATTGAAGAAACTAGCCAAAATTTAATGAAATGACTTAAAAATAACTCATTAAAACAATTAAAAAAACAATATAAAACATATTAACCCATTAAGATATTTTTAAAATAATTTATACAACAGACGTATTACTGAAGCATCTTTTATAGCCATAAGGATAATTTGAGTCTTAAGTCATGATTAAAATATATTATTATTAGTAATACATTACTAAATAATTCTGATACATAATTCAAAGTTTTATTTAACTCTTTATTGTGATTTTCGAAAAAACTATTAGCGAATATTTAATTCATATTTGTCATAAAAAGAAATTAAGAATAAAAAAATTAAGAATACACTTTGAAAATCAATCAAAATATTATCTCAGTTTATTAATTTTTTGACACACAGTTTTCTTTTTTTTAGTTAGTTTTTTTCTCAATTTTATAAACGTTATATATATATATATATATATATATATATATATACATTTATTTATCTATAAAAGTATGCCCTTCACAAAAGCACGAGTATCTATAATACCATATAAAACGCAAATTCTACGATGCATCTACTTGCATTTGCAGCTATTTTTAGACCGATTTATTTACATATATGTACTATTTTGATTTTTATTTTTATTTTCCGAGATCAATTAATTCCAAACCAAATGGTAGAATCGCAACTCGAATTTGAAAGTAAAAATATGATCAAGTATTTACAAATTTCATTGTGATAAATTTGTATGTTCTAAATTATCATTTGTAATTATTATTATTTATTTATTTTAATATTGCCATTATAAATACATTTTAATTTCGTACAGTTAATGTGTATCGCCTGATCTGATTATTATCTATATATTCTACTAAAGATCAAATTTCTATTTCCATTATTGAAGTTAAATTAGTCAATGAAACTTCATAGAAATACCTAGAAAAAATATAATAAATACATGATAAAAAAATATAAATATAAACAGGCACATATATTGTGAACACTCTTGAATTTTTTTAAAAAACTTATATGTAATTTCCCACTAACTCACTAACATTCCTTGTTCAGGTTACAACAAAAAGTATTATTGAAACAGGTAAATAAACCCAAAAAATTGGAAAAATTCAATTTACCTGTAATAATTCAAATAAAATGTTTCATAACAATGCACTAAGCAAGATCAGAAATCCCTTAGATAAAACCAAATCTGATTCAGGATACAACAAAAACTTTCCTTAAATTCTATGGGCAACCACACCCAAAAATACTGGATATCCAATATACCTAAAATAATTCCTTATAAAATATTCCATAATCCTTATTGTTCGACTATTAGTTCGAATATGTATTATGTTATATGGGAAAACCTTTGACATTTAAAAACGATCCATCAAAGCTTGCGGTAAATGTTAGAGGATGTTTTACATTGTATTGTTTTCCTAACCTCTGGCTCCGGGTGCTCCGGGGGCTCCTGCCAGACACAGGCGGAAGCCCCCACATTATTAACTTCGTATTAACAATATTAAATTATACATGAATTGTAATAGTTGTTATTTTGAAGTTTGGGATAATAATATGATGATATAATATTATTTATTAGCCAGATTTGTGTATTTTGAACAATGTAATCAATATGTAATAAAATAATATATCAGAATTCTTTAGTTTGTATTTAATTATTGGTTTGTTGGTTTTTAGAAATTTTTAAAAAATCATGAAATTTGAAAACCGGGTTTTGGTAGGAAATGGAACGGTTTCTAGTACGTATATAATACTTAAAACTAGTTGAAAGAGGCATTTAGCCTCAAGGCAAGTTGCAGAACAATCGTAGTTGAGATTTAGATATTTAGATATAATTCTTAACTTTATTTTGAAAATAAAGTACGAGTATAAACTAAGAAATAAACATTATGATTTTCAATTTATATATCTCAAACATATTTATATAGGTGCTTGTATATCCTAAAATTGTAGCTTATTATTATTCAAAATTTTAATAAATTTATTTAATTTAACCAATTTTCGTAAGACTGTTTAGGGCATGAACTTCATCGCTATGTTAAATTTCATTAAAAATGTCGAAACATTTTTTTAGAAACTTAATAAATTATTATTACTAATGCATATATCACGATCGTAGTCCTTAATATTATTTAATTATTTAAATTATTAATAATATTTTTACTAGAGATGTTTTGTGGATCGCTCATTAGGTGACACAGATATAAAAATTCTATTTAGATAATTATTAGCTAATTTTTATTAACAATGCACGAATTCATAAACTTGAAGTAAAAAGATTTTTGATAAATCCAAAGAAATGGCTTAGCCCATCTTTTCACAAAACTAACCGTGATTTCTCCTCACAAGTTAATTCCAATGGCTTTTAAATTTGTAAAATTCAAATTTTGACTTATAACATCAAAGAAGTGACACAAATTTTTCCTATCATATTTTTTTAAACTTTGATGAATTTTTAATATTTTAGTATTCGTTACACCATGATTATAGAGCAAACATGAAAGTTTCATCAAAAAAAAAAATTCAACGGGTATTTAATTACAAAGAAACTGCCTTGCCAATCTCAAAACACGATTCTTGAATAATATCTTTAAAATAGATTTTGAATTTTTAAAATCGATTCAGTATTTTTGGCTTTCAATCACTTTCGAAACGTCGAGAAAACATAAAATTTGCAAGTCGTTTTTTGGCAAAAACAATAAAAATTCTTTGAAAAATAAAAACGTACAAACACCTATTTTGATGAACAAATCATTTACTGTTAATAATAAGCCTACTACTAAGTAAAGATTGATTAAACTCCAAAAATTGTCTAAAATTTTTATAAAATTGTATAAAATTCAATTACACTAAATAATATGGCTTTATTTTCCTAAAAGGTGCGTATTAAGCAACCATATTCTATTAATTTTAAAAATTTTACTACAATGAGTCTAATCCTGTATTCGAAAAATTATAATATACAAAGACACATACTTTACTTCAAAACAATGTGCAAAAATGTAATAAATCATATATAGAAACAAATTACGCCGAAGTCACCAATGTAGAAATTGAATAATTAGAAATAACTTGTAACAAATATATATACTGTATGTAAAAAAATGCAATCTTATAATAAAAATCCTAGTCAAATTAACTATTAATTTGATTATTAAATGCCACATATAAAAATAGTTTCGTTTCTTCAAATATTTTAAAATTGCCGCCATAAAAAATACTCTCGAGCTTCTGAAGTACTTGATAACCCGAATAATCGAAAATTTATATAAAAAAAATCAAAATCGCAATATATGTGTTAAATTCATGTACAGTTATTTTTCAATTTATATACAGCTATTTTTTTAAACATTTTTTCTACAAGTTAAAAATTTTATTGTGTATATATTTGATTGTCTAACTCTTGTGTATATATTTGATTGTCTAATTGTAAATAACATTCATGCAAAATAATTCATATTAAAAAAAATCAATTAGGTATTATTTTCTTCTTCACGTTATTCAAATTAACTACCTTAATTTTAGATTCCAAATTGCCGCCTCAAAAAATACATTAAAAATTTCTAAAAATGTATAAATATAAAAACAAATATACAACTATTTACTATTTTTATACATGTTAGAATTTTTATAATAGACTTATTTGTTACCTTGTCTATATGTATCAATGTATATTTAGAAAAAAATCATATACAACTTGGTTCCAATAAAATATTTAATCAACTGAAATTCCTCGCATATTTAAATTTGCCGCCTTACAAAACACACCCTCTACTTTCCCCGCCTCGGCAACCCCAATCCTTCGACCAACCCCCAATCTGGCAACCCTGCCCGACAGCCCCAGGAGCGTTTCGTGGAAAAGCGAATCATTACATGTGCTAGGTTATGGTGTTCAAGACTGTTCTTTGATAAAACAAACAGAAAATTCAATAATAATATGGTTGTTATTAGTGATAATAGTTCGGAATAAATAGGATAAATGATAAAGGATACATATTTAATATTTTTAATGTATTTTGTGTAAAAATAATGAAAATATAAAGTGTAATTGATATAGTGCTTTTTATGATTCATAAAATGCTTTAATCGGGTATCTAATAAAATTTATTATATGTAATTGTAATTAAATCATATAAATTGATATCAAATATTTATTAACAAAATATGTGGTGTAGATAATTTTCATTGTTAAATAAACATTCGTATTAATAAAAAAATTATTAGTATTCAAAGCAAATTTTTGCAAGAAGATTTGACTCAGATTTTTGAGGTAAGTGTTTTTCATTAATACAAAATAGTAATTGAAAAATATTGTATGAACTAATATTGATGTTGATTCATGTTTTAATGTCGATGTCATCAGATTTTTATATCAAAAACATTTTTTTATGAATTAACAATATTGACAAAAATGTTTACAGAATATTTAAAAATTTAAAGGAATTTTTACATTAATACAAAATGGTAATTGAAAAATTATGTATCAATTAATACTGATGTTGATTCATGAGTTGATGTTGATGTCATCAGATTTTAATGTCAAAAACATTTTTTTATGGATTAACAATATTGACGAAAATGTTTACAGAATATTAAAAAATTTATAATATTTATATATTATTTGGTGATGGAGAGTATCAAGTTGCAAAACGACATAAATAAGCATTAATAGAAAATTATTTATTGGATTAATCGTTCGAAAAAGTATTTTATCAATTTATTAAAAAATCCAGGAAATACCTCTTATATCTTATATATAAAATTCTTCAGTACAGGTGTATGATTTGATACTTCTCCTAAACGGTTATTCGGATTTTGATAATTCTTTTTAGAGTTTGTCAAAGGA